TTAGTTATTACAGCGTGTCATGCACTTCAGACTAAATTATATCTGATCCGATCATGTGCTGAGTCAGAATCACTGAACACAATCAGATGTGCCATTAATCCCATTGTTTCGGCCAATTAATCATGGCGCCACTGATTGGCACTCGAAGCTGATCATCGAATCAAACAAAAATCCGCGGAACGGTCTCGTAAACATTATCCCGCACAGTACAATCCAGCTACATGTGACGGTTGTAACCGTGGTCACGGACCACATATGTGCCGGACCACATGTCACGGACCACATGTCCCGGACCACATGTCCCGGACCATCAAATACAAACATTTAATTGATAATTTACTTAGTAAACATGAGATTGAGTGCTACGTTTATCAAATATTTAATCGGAAGAAAGGATCCCCGGGGGTAACCCCCGATCCCCCTTAAATTTGTCTTCATCAATGTCATCATGTTTCTAAGACGTGTATATCTGAACTCGCATCTGATCATCATACTTCATTAAAAACGGTAGATTTAAGGGGAATAAGGTAAAAGTCAGGTCTGATCAGCCGGGTATGACTTTAAAATAGTTAATTAAATTAGTTTTTTTACTAGGTTTTAACTTTTAACTCCTCCTCTTTGTGATAGATCAGTCAAGTGTCTCTGGTTAACTTGTGAAACTACTGAACTGTAAATTGGAGGTCCTTCTTTCCACGTCTAATCGAATAAACGCACAATAACGTGAACATTTCCGATCTTAAAAAACCAGCGACCGTCTCGTCCAGACAGTAGTAGATACTATATTTCACACTTTGTTGTAGAACTATCTCTGCAGTCAAGAGGACGCCTACATTCCCCGAGTATAAAATAGCTCGATCAGAACGCCACTTCATTCGAAAAGGAGCCCACTTGAAAGACAAAGAAAGAAGAGCCCACTTGAAAGACAAAGAAAGAAGAGCCATGGTTGGGATGATCCTGATGGCACTGTTAGCAGCGTCAGCTGCACAAGACAAGCAACAAGTTAACCCGGATATAGTCTACAAGTACTCCGACGAGTTTCAGTTGATCTGGAGGGACGGAGGATCTGGTGCGGATAAGAGCGGCTCAATATGGCGCAGTCTCAACTTCCAGTCTGAGTACTGTTCCGTGGGAGATGTGGCCTCTGAAGACTGGGGCAAACCTTCAGATAAAGCAGTATTCGTCTCACAAAGGAAGGAAGGAGCTTTAGTTCACCCAACCAGCTTCACAGCCATGTGGACAGATCAAGGAAGTGGCTCGGATGCTGACGTTACCATCTACAAGATGAATGCTCCTGCTGGCTACACCTGTCTTGGAGGAGTGGCAGTGAACAGTCACTCCACTAAACCTGATCCCAAGAAGTATTGCTGTGTGAGGGACGAGTATGTAGTCCAGGGGGACACAATGTTCGCCTGGAGTGACAGAGGTTCTGGAGCTACTCAAGACGGCAGTTTGTGGACAGTTGTCAGAGCCGGCGGAGAAGTGTACGGTATAAACGCTGGAACCTTTATACCAGTCCAAGGATACTCCAGGCCAGCCAGCACTTCCGCTCATCTTCTAAGAGGGGATGAGAGCAAAGTCAGAGACGTGTGGAAACTTCCGGATGGCAAGGAAAAACCTCTGAACGTTTACGAAGTAGGAGAATTGAAATTTATCTGGAGCGACCGGGGATCAGGGGCTAGTCAAGACGTATCATTCTGGAGGGCAGAAGCTAAGAAGGGATATCATCCTCCTGGAGACATTGCTGTCAGTTCACACGGTAAGCCAAGATTAGGGTTCCTGCTCAAACAAACTGATGATCAAGATGACCTAATCCGAACCCCGGTGTCCTACAAGACAATCTGGAATGACGGCGGGTCGGGAGCTGACAGAAACGTGCAACTATGGAGTGTTAACTGTCCTGCAGGGTATGTTCCTTTAGGAGATGTTGCAACTGACGGCAGAGAGCCTGAATTCGGATCAGTATACTGCGTGAAGAGCATCTACACCACCATTGGGACAAGTAGAAACTGGAAACAAGTTTGGGTAGACCAGGGGGCTGGAGCAGACCGTGATGTAAAAATCTTTGAAGCTATTCAGCTACCAGACAAACCTAAACAGCAATCAGTAAGAGCGTTTAAAGCCGTACCAAACTACAACTACAAGCCTAACCCACCTTACTTACTAAACTTAGAGTCCGTGGCTTACTGGCCAGAGAAACCTATAGAGAAGATATACATGTACAACGTAAAGTACAATCTTGAGGGTGAGAATAAGCAGACTTCCCCAGTTAAAGTGAGTCCTACCTATGTGGTGAACAGATCTGATCAGGTACAGAGAGTGGTTAGGCAGGTATCCTACTCCTTCACAGAGAGTAGGTCATACTCTTTCAGCCAGGCTGTCCAACTTGGCGTAAAGGTGGAATTCGAAGCTTCAGTTCCGGTTATTGGAGGAGGGGGGAAAACCACAATCAGTGCGTCTATAGAGGGAAAATTTACCTCTGGTAGTACCAATACCACAGTGGTAAAACACGCAATGGAAGCGAGGATGGATATTCAACCTTGGTCCAAACAGTCGGCTTACATTCTTGCTACTGAGTATAAAGCTGATATACCCTACACAGCCACTATCAAGAAAGTTTACTTTGACGGTTCTTATGCAATGGCTGATGTTTCAGGTGTTTACAAAGGAGTAGCCACAAGTAATGGTAGGATTACAATCAGTAAGACTGAATACATTGATAAAGACTGAGTACTTTGATAGTTTTAAAAATAACATTTGAAAAATACCCTTAGTTTGACTGCTTAAACAACTATGCAAAAAATTTCCCGAAAACTGCTAAATTCCGCTATAACCAGTTTACAGGTAGGTTCGTCCGTTTTTTTCCTCATTAGAAGAATAAATAAAGAGCTAAAACTTGGACTCCTAAATAACTAGGACTTCTTAATGTGATTTTTCTAAATAAATGCCCACCACTTCTTACATAGGAACCCTTCTTATATTTATTGAATTGTGTTTACTGCTACTTACTACTTCTGCTATGACATTAAAGACTTACTTCAAAAGAGGGTTGGCACAAATCAGCAGAGCTTTAGAAATCCTCACTTCTCTCTCGTAAGCATTTAGAATATAGTCTCAAAATATACTACAAGCTTGAGACGAATTACGTAAGTTATTAAGAGGTTGCGTGTGGGTAGTCACTTTTGGGCCACCCTGTACTTTGGGTTAATTTAAAATGAAATAAAAGCATGCTCTGTGCGTACTAATGGCCTTATAGTCTAATGCCAATACAATGCACTTATAAATACCAAGAGATTTCAACTACAATAGCATGAGCATGCAGAATCCCCACACAATAAAAGCAGTTATATTATGTTATGGTTATTACAGCGTGTCATGCACTTCAGACTAAATTATATCTGATCCGATCATGTGCTGAGTCAGAATCACTGAACAAAATCAGATGTGCCATTAATCCCATTGTTTCGGCCAATTAATCATGGCGCCACTGATTGGCACTCGAAGCTGATCATCGAATTAAACAAAAATCCGCGGAACGGTCTCGTAAACATTATCCCACACAGTACAATCCAGCTACATGTGACGGTTGTAACCATGGTCATCACGGACCACATGTCACGGACCACATGTCCCGGACCATCCGGACCATCATGGACAATGCGTCCCGGATTATCACGTACCACTGTCCACTGTCGCAGACTCTCCTCACATACAGACGATTATCCTTTTATAGCTGGTCAAAACAACCACAAGATAATTCAACAAATTTTCCTTTATTTGTCTTATTGGTATTACTAATTAGACTCTTTGTACTTTTGTAATTCCGGCACTAAATGTAGTTTATATATCGTGTCAAGCTGCTAGCCAGAATTTTGAGCACTTCAGTTTTATAAATGCTAATAAAACGTAGAAAGACGCTCGACAGTTCGATATATTGACAAGTAACACGGTTAAGTTTAACAAAGTAACACTATAACGGACAAAGTACGTGTGTGGAGATCATTTATAAAAAATAGTGAGGGAGTTTATATATGCTGCATGGTAATGGTAGCACAGATTCAACAAGAATTGCGCCCGTTGTTTCGTTTTGGCGGACGCTAGATTTCCATTTCACATTTACCATAAATTTAAGTATAGGCTCCAATCAGCTCACTTCAATCTTCATGATAATAATATTGATAAATTATGCATCAAATACGGGAAACACTTGAAATTCAGTTCAATTGCCGTAGAACTCAACTTGTATCTGTAATTCAAGAAATTATCAGCAAATGTAAACTATACTCGTGTACACATCAATACACTACGCGTGCCACGTACAAATTGGGCGTATTACCTAATAGTAATATTGTACATTACATGCATCATATACATTAAAACACAGTCGCGCCGCGCATTCATAGGTCACAGGCTATCTATACATCACATCTCCGCAAGCAATCCTCGCGCGCGCAACTTTTTCGTTGCATGGTAACGGACGGAAGGACACACGACATATTTAAACCCACCTATCTCGTTCTCCAAAATCCACGTTTTTCTGCAAAAACCTCCATTCGTAACCTTTCACTATTGCCTTTTTTCAAAAGGGTGAAAAGGAAAAAATATCATTAGAAATCTGTCGCAGATTAACAATCGGCATGAAATAAAGCCGGATGTGGCATTTACATTTTATAATTCAACTACGTATGCTTATCACGAGGGTGGCAGCAGCTCGTTGTGCCGCGCACGATCAAGCCACGTGGGCACGATCAAGCCACGTAATTAGTCGTTATGGCAGCTCACGTGGGCATCACATGTTCCAAATATCGGCTGGTAGTTCTGACGCAGAATGGACTGATAAAAAGAGAGAGTGTCGACGGTTCAGATCGATATTGTTGCGAGGACGATTCATCCAAATTATCATATCAATCAGTGCACATCAGAGGTGACCAATTAATATCTGCATGCTAATTTTCGGATATTTGCACACTTTTGTCCGATAAAAACAATAAAAACACTTAATATTTGGGTTTTCAACTTTATTAATTCATTTTTCGTCTATATACACTTTACAGTTTCATATTTACAATTATTTACAACACATTTTACTGCATGACAGCAGCAAATGTTAAGAATGAATAGAAGCAGAAAAGAAAAAAAGCTGTCACTCATCAAATATTCAAAGAGCAGCACTATAAGTTACCTAGCAACGCCGTTACTAGGTAATGACCACGTAGAGCAGCAGGTAGATGACTAATTAACTCAATTACTGAGGAATGGCGACCTAATTACCTAATTAGAAATATGCCGTTATTAGTTGTACCTGATTCACAGGAACATTCCCGGGAAATTGTGTAAAATCACTTCGAAATAATTGCAACACCACACTCCGACTAGTAAATTGGTCCTCACAACGGCACGACAATTACCAGCAAATAGTCTAATATTATGTGCAAATTTAGGACTGGATGATCAAAACATGGTACGGGATAATGAATTGTAACTTGGGATGGGTGGTCGAAAAAAGGTACGGGCACTATCGTACTGAAATCATTTGTAACTGAATTGTAACTTTATAAATATAATGGAATAGCGCCACTCAAAACTAAATAACCTAAAAGCCATGATAATGATAATGCATTATTATCCTATTTAAAGTAATATTAGATAACTCGATGGTCGTCAGTCAATTAAATGTGGGTGTGTTTTTAAGGCAAGCATAATCTAAAATAGCGCTCAAAGCCAGACTTTGTAACATTTGCAAACTTCGTGCTGCAATAAATAGGGATGTAAGAAATCCAATAACGAATTATTAAATCGATCAGTCCGGCCGATGGAAATCATATTTCTATGACCACAAACTTTGATAAGCATGAATGAACTAGCCTCAAAAATGGGAATTATTCTGAGGAACAACTAATATTAAAAAGATGAGCTCGCATTGAATTGAATCTCGCAAGCATGAAAAGTATAGCCATACTAGATCGCGAAATCATTTTCAATAAAATTAACATAAACTTTTAAAATACAACCATCGTTTCTGACAATAATCGTTTCGATATCTCGATTACATTGATAATTGTTAAGAGCCAATGCAGCTCAAAAAAGGACGTATTTTTATCCAATAATTTAAAATCTAGACTTCGCACGTGGCTGATACACCAAAAAGCCTGATGAGTTTTTGGATTAAAATTATCGCCAGACAAAATTATCAAATATTACACATGCCTGTCAGGGTTATCATAAAATTTATCTAGGTGAGAAAGACAATAAATATTCTCGAACACCCAAACCCGTCAAACTTTGACCTAAAAGGCAAAAGATACTTTTCTGATACGGAAGGGGGTTTGGAGGAGCATCTGAAATCCGGCTCGTATTGGATGTAAGTCAGTTGTAATCCGGCTCGTATTGAATGTAAGCGAGGACTTTTCCCGGTACCAAACCGAATCCACCAGCTGTGTAAATCTCATATCTACCATCTTTGTGGTTACGCAATACCTGCAGAATAAGGTTTTCGGGTTCTGGTATGAACATTTTTATTTTTGAAGGAGCAGTACGTTTAAAAATATCAAATGTTCAAAAGAAGTGGTGGGCTATACGATTTTGACAGGATTTCCAAAAACAGGTGATGTCGATGAAAAAGGACGTGTGATGACTCATGACACAAAATATTAGACATGAGTTGATCGATTATGTGTTTATTTATTGTGTTAGTTAGAGCGAAGGTTTGGAATATGATAGGCTGGAATTATACCGTTTATAATTGAATTCCGTTGCCACGGTGACGGCAGTTACTCACCTTGACCATGGTTCCTTTTTGAACAGAGAGCTCTTCGTCATGCTTCGCCTCGTAGTCGGTCGTGATCTTAGTCAGGTACCCTTTCGGGTGATCTGAAATAAAATATAAATTATAAAAACTATCTAAAATCTTGGAGTCCGGCATGATAGTGCATTATCATGGGTAACATAAAACTTATAGATCTAGCAAGCACCCGTGCAGCAAATTACTGAGCAAGATTAAAATTATCATCTAACAAGCCCAACATTGACATACGTTGCATGCCACTTTTCACATGTATCAAGCCCAACACGTGCTAATGACCCTAGTGACCAGGACTTATATAGGACACCATTCCATCCGGTATCCTGGCTCCCTTCCTTTATTCTATTGCTAATGCAGCCTTTACCTTATTCATATTCATGAAGCTGATTTGAATGAAATGTAAGAGCATTGTAAGTGTTATATATCTTTGACCCTAATCCCCCTGAATGCGATATAGCTGGGGGGGGGGGGGGGGGGGGGGGGTGTTGTGGGGAGTTAGGCGATATAACTGGGGATGGGGTATGGGGTTTAAAGGGGCTCTAGACGTTATGGAGTTAGGAGATATTTAAATATTATCGGGGTTCGAGGGCCGGTCTACTTTTTAAATTTCCAATAGATTTAGTGGAGGTTTGAGAATAGGTTGCGCAGAACCATTAATTTTGATATCCAGAATTGAGATAAAATATGTCGCTTGCTAATAAACTAATAGATAAACATCTAACACGAACATTCCAAATGTTCTATATTTGGATGTGTCCTGGTCAAATCTTGCTATAAAGTGTCAAATTTGTGGGGTTCAAGTATATTACATGACGAGTGGCTAGTCAGAATATATAGCTTTTAGACCGGTTGGATTTTAGGGAGTCTGATTTTTGAAATGTTTTAGTAGGTTTAAATAATACCCAGGGTTTCAAGGAACATAGACACGTCTATTTCTATAACGGTCCTTCCGTTTTGTAACATTTTAATAAGTTCACTGTCCCGGTTAATTCATGTCAACACTGCAACAATGCTACGTACTAGCGCTACAACAACACTACATGGTGTTTAATCTGCTGTAGCCAAACTTTCATCAGAATTCTGACGCGGACGCCCTAAGGAATAAATACTTTAACATAATATACTCATTGTCGCTAAACAGCGTCACGTGACAGTAGGAAGTGTGAAGTTCCCTGGATCTCCACCTGGTGCAGGCGAGGGTACAAGCTGGAGCGTACAAAGGTACAAGCTGGAGCGGGGTACTTCTAAGGCTATTCTACTTATGAAGCTTCATATTGGGTGCGATAAACCAGGTAACTTGGTAACCAGGTACCAAAACCTCTATTTTTAGAGAATAGAATGGACCGTCAACCCTTTATTTCAGTCTTATAATCCCGGTTTATGGGCAACGCTGACACGTTTTAAAAGAACATACCCAAATATAAACTAAAATGACTCACTCTGGCGATGAAGGGCGTTGGGATCAACTCTGGGTCTGTTGTTGGCTGCTTTGCTGTCATTATCCTTGTTCAGCGCGTTGTAGAGGTCCTTCTTCGACTGCACTGATCCACGAATAGAGGAGCGATCTATCGCCTCCTGCTTCTCTTTATACAGCAGTATCATATCTTTGATCTCATCTGAAGAATGCATATTCATTTAAAATCAATTACCTGTTAGCTAATTAATTACCTGTTAGCTAATTAATATGTTTTCTAATTATGCATACGTTGGTTGTGGTATACTAAATAAATACACACTGTGACATAGCCCGTAAAACCACAATGATGTATCCTCTAGGGAAATTAGAGCGTATCCTTAGTACAGTGAGGTAATTATCTGATTATTAACAATACTACACACAATATGATAACAAGAAAGCCTCACCTGGTGAGAAAGCCAGTATCTCCGGAGGGTACTGATCCTTGCTGCTTGGAGTTGAAGCAGTGCTTCCTAATCCTTTCTTCCAGCTCTTTAATATGCTTGAGCTTCCCTTCTTCCTGCGGGCCCCGGGCCCCGCCTCCTCTAGCTCCGTCTGAGTTGAGGCCTCTACTTTAGCAACACTCTCCCCGGCCCCCATCTAGTAACATGTTGATCCCCACTTCCCAAACTACATCCCTTAGCTGATTCTCCCTTTCTAATCGAATTTGTGATGTTAGAAAATAAAAAGATGATATTCAAAAACGTTGTGATTTATGGCGGGAAATTGATATTTAAAGTTTAAACTAGTGGAGATTGAAAGAAGAAGCATATCGAGTACAAAATCAAAACACTACATAACAAAGGTGTTGCAGAACAGCGAAGGCTAAAACCAGCAACGCACGCCACACTGCAACCATACAACAAACGCTCCCAAAATTAACCTCTAAATAAAACCAGTTGGCTGAGTGGTTGAGCTTGCCATGGCAACGAAAAAACAAAAGGTTGGTGCGTTGAATGGAGCATTAGTCGCGGGTCACCAGTATACAGGTGGCTCCAGATTGAACTCTACCATGCAAAGGGAGCACTCTTCAGCCAGAGAGCGCTGCGATTATAAATGCGAGTCTGAATATTTCACGAAGCTAACTTGGGGAGCTAGATGAGCGGGGTCTAGAAAACGATGTGAAGGTCCCACAGAATCAAAGAATACGATTCCGACGATTAGGGAACAAAAGAGAGGTGTGTGTGGGTGTAGGTTCTTAGCATAAGAAAGGGAGCGGTGGAGCTCGGCTGTCACGTGATCACTGGCCGTGTACATCTGTTGATCCAAGGCACTGGACAGCTAGAGAGAGAGAGAGAGAGAGAGAGAGAGAGAGAGAGAGAGAGAGAGAGAGAGAGAGAGAGAGAGAGAGAGAGAGAGAGAGAGAGAGAGAGAGAGAGAGAGAGAGAGAGAGAGAGAGAGAGAGAGAGAGAGAGAGAGAGAGAGAGAGAGAGAGAGAGAGAGAGAGAGAGAGAGAGAGAGAGAGAGAGAGAGAGAGAGAGAGAGAGAGAGAGAGAGAGAGAGAGAGAGAGAGAGAGAGAGAGAGAGAGAGAGAGAGAGAGAGAGAGAGAGAGAGAGCGAGAGAGAGAGAGAGAGAGAGAGAGAGAGAGAGAGAGAGAGAGAGAGAGAGAGAGAGAGAGAGAGAGAGAGAGAGAGAGAGAGAGATAGAGAGAGAGAGAGAGAGAGAGAGAGAGAGAGAGAGAGAGAGAGAGAGAGAGAGAGAGAGAGAGAGAGAGAGAGAGAGAGAGAGAGAGAGAGAGAGAGAGAGAGAGAGAGAGAGAGAGAGAGAGAGAGAGAGAGAGAGAGAGAGAGAGAGAGAGAGAGAGAGAGAGAGAGAGAGAGAGAGAGAGAGAGAGAGAGAGAGAGAGAGAGAGAGAGAGAGAGAGAGAGAGAGAGAGAGAGAGAGAGAGAGAGAGAGAGCAGCAGCTAAGATTATACAGCTCTCTACTGAGCTCCCCGCTACAGCAGCTCAAACCTCTGTGTGTGGCATTGTAACCAGGACAGTAATGATGCATTATCATTTAGAGCGAGCCAACATACTAAGGCTCTCAGGGTCATGTGGTCCTCACGTGATTCCAGCTCTCTTCCTTATTGGACCACACCCCTACTACCAACTCAGGGGGCACGTGACACGTGTCCGGTCACGTGACCCTGTTACCATGGCAATCCATTACACAGCATGATATAGAGTTACAAAGAGTTCGGTTGCTACAGCAACTACTAGGAAAAGAAAACAAAGGGTTGTTTTAGATGGTACCGTCACCCTCCCAACTACGTATCTGAAATATAAGCGGTAATGAGAAGCTCGTAATACTTAACTAAGTAACTTAACAAAGTACTCTCATAATATAAAGCATGGTTAGCGTCAATTGGGTAGCAAGGGGTTATGACAAAGGTGGATCAAAGCGGCCATGATGAAGTTTAAATGTGAGGAACAGTTTTTTGGCGGACGTGTAGCTGTAAATCATGGGAAACTGCTATGCCGTTGGGGTGATATTTAGTAGGTAACTGGCAGAGTTATTAGCATTTAGCATGGGTGTCCATTATGTGACGTTATTTGGTCGCACATTATGTGACGCAGAAGGTCTATAGTAGTGTTATAGTAACGCTCATGTAATGTCCGGCCAAATTTAAGTCCAGCTACCATGGACGTTCAAAGAAATTTCGTGTTCGTAATTATGTTCGCACAAAATTATGACCACCCAAATAAAGCTCAATAAGGTTCGATAAGGTACCTCATGCCTTCTCTTGCTATCATTATCAACTATAATTAACGTATCCGTTAACCGCCTTGTTCGGGTTCCAAACAAACCGAGACACAAACCGCAAAACGCCGGTCCAGTGACCCGTCAAAAACGTTAACAATAAGAATTGGAGAGAATACCCAACAAGAGACATGGTAGCCGCAGCTATAAACCACCGGGCCGGAGCTAGCTAATCAGCAACACTAACTCTAGATACCCGCTCTCCAGCAAGTCAAATCCAAGTATGAACAGGGTTTAAAGAACCTTATTACAAGTCAGGGAGGTCAGACTGGGAAGCCGGGGATGGTTAGTTTTGGTTTAACGAGAGGGTCTAACTCCCCCTTCTCTAACTCTCTCCTCTCTTCTCTTCTCTCTCTCTCTTCTCCTCTCTCCTCCTCTCTCTCTCTCTCTCCTCTCTCTCTCTCTCTCTCTCTCTCTCTCTCTCTCTCTCTCTCTCCTCTCTCTCTCTCTCTCTCCTCTCTCTCTCTCTCTCTCTCTCTCTCTCCTCTCTCTTTCTTCTCCTCTCTCTCTTCTCCTCTCTCCTCTCTCTCTCTCCTCCTCTCTCTCTCTCTCTCTTCTCTCCTCTCTCTCTCCTCTCTCTCTCTCTCTCTCTCTCTCCTCTCCTCTCCTCCCTCCTCCCTCCCTCCCTCCCTCCCTCCCTCCTCCCTCCCTCCCTCCCTCCCTCCCTCCCTCCCTCCCTCCCTCCCTCCCTCCCCTCCCTCCCTCCCTCCCTCCCTCCCTCCCTCCCTCCCTCCCTCCCTCCCTTCCCTCCCCTCCCTCCCTCCCTCCCTCCCTCCCTCCCTCCCTCCCTCCCTCCTCCCTCCCTCCCTCCCTCCCTCCCTCCCTCCCTCCCTCCCTCCCTCCCTCCCTCCCTCCCCTCCCTCCCTCCCTCCCTCCCTCCCCTCCCTCCCTCCCTCCCTCCCTCCCTCCCTCCCTCCCTCCCTCCCTCCCTCCCTCCCTCCCTCCCTCCCTCCCTCCCTCCCTCCCTCCCTCCCTCCCTCCCTCCCTCCCTCCCTCCCTCCCTCCCCCTCCCTCTCTCTCTCTCCCTCTCTCTCTCTCTCTCTCTCTCTCTCCATGGGGGGTACTACAATAGTAACGTTCCCGAGGGGGAAGCCACCACGGGGATCGCAACCCAGGTTTTGCGGAGTGTTGAGTTTTAGAGGGCGAGGATTCTGACGCTGTTGCACGGACGAGAGAATACGGAGCACGGACGTGTGGTATGTTCGGACTAATCCTCCCCGGACAACGGTTATTGGTTATGACGGGGGTTAGGAATGTTAGACGTGGGTATTCTAACATTCTTGTGGGGAGTGGTGGAATATTCCATAATTCCGTTTCAACAACATTTGTAAACACACAGGAAGCACGGGATGTTAGAATGGATCTAGTTTCTCAGTAGGTCATCGTAACGAGGGAAACCTCTGAATGACCGAATATGAAGACAAACTTTTAGAGTAAAAAATATATGCTAAAACAGGCCCGGCGCATTTGAAAGGAACACGTGTTTCATTATGAACGATATTGATTAACTTCCTGATAAACTATAATCATTCAAAGATATTTCCCTTTAGCACTGTAAATCTTCGAAAGTTGCAACGTGAATAAAACCATAGTGGGACCCGAATTACTCTCAAAACCCTTCAAAAGCCTAACTCCAAATAGTGTGAATATTGCTGAAACGAATATTATGAAACTCTGCTCGGCTGTAGTAAACAAATTTATGCAGTCAGTGTAACCCAATCAAACGTCCTCATTTGGTTCTTCGTCCTGAATAAAAGCACTCCAGATTTAAGAATAAAATGATGTTTAAAGCAACCACATGATCGAGTCTCAAGATGCAAAATCTTGCAAAACTGCTTAAGTTATTTCCGAATTAAAGTAGGATATAATAAAATAATCGTGCAACAGTTGCACCAGTACGACAAGTAAAGCAGCGGAGGAAAAATAATAGCAGAATGCTGAGATTTGACGTAAAATATTTGTAGATGAGGTTGTTACTCGCTGATATATTGATAAGAGTTCACTTGACTCTTAATTAGTGATTAAAATAATATTCGGATCAATGTTATTTACAGAGCCATCTTTACTTTTTCACTTTTACTTTTATAATTATTAATATTGCTAATATATTTGTATTGCACCATTATTTTAATTGTAAACTTGGAAAAAAGTTCCTCCACATTATCATATTTCCTCCGTCGAGGTGTGAAACTGAAACAGCAAAAATACATCCCTACTCCCTGCGTGATATTTATGGAATTTGCTCCTCATTTTTGTTGTGTAACATGTATAAAAGTATGCAGGAAACTATTTCAGTTGTCAATAAGGGCTGTTTTTTGCCGATATATTAAACAAGAGTAACCAAGCTGTAAATTGTTACTGTGGAGTGTCAAAATGTTACCCGACTGCAGCAGCCACGCCAAAATGTCACCGTCACTGACAAAGATAGACTAGATCCGTATGAGATCCAAACGATCGAAATATTAAATATGTTAGACCATTAAATAAAGTGACCGGGTCATGTTCGCCACCATTAACAAATGGTGACCAAGTCATATCTTAATATGCAAATTCCTTCAAAAATACCTCTCAAGAATAGAGATTCCTTCAGAAAATACCTAGCGCTCCTTCACAAAATGACTCACCTGACCCCAAACAAAAGAATCACGAGATTCCCTCCACAACAACAACAGAGGGGTTGGAGTTGATCAGATGACTGTTATAGACAGTATCACAGTCTTTGCTGCATGCCAAAGCAATACACTACACACAAGCATAGGTCAAGCACGCAATCAACGACACAAAATATAGTACTTCGTCGACTCGACTACTCGAGTTTATCTTTCGTTTTTGTCTCTTTTTTTGTTTCTTTTCGTTTGACGGCCATGAAATCTTCGACTACAAGCCAGTCTAGTATGGTAAGAATTCTACCTCACTTGAAACTTTCCACCTTCAACCAACCCGTCAACAGTAAATTTAAAACCCAACGTACCCGAGGAAGGAAATATCCACCATGGTTAAATGTCATCAATTCAGGCAGGTTTGCTTCAGAGTGCAGCGGTGTCTGAGCGGATAGACTTGGAACTAAGGTGTCCAATATGTCTGGACAGGTATGGTGGACCTCTCAAAGCTCCCCGAGCTCTCCCTTGCCTTCATTCTCTCTGCAGTGCCTGTCTTACTATCTTCATTAAAAACGGTGGGTACATAATACTGTTACAGTCAATAAAATAGCTGGGAAGTTAACGAGAAATGTTGAATTGTAAATAAGGACTTGAACTTTGGAGTTGATAATTGGTAATGATAATGTAACCTATCATAACGGCTTTTGTTTTCTGTCAATGGCCTATTCAAGATCGTAATATTAATAATATTAAAATATTGATAAATATCCGCTTAACAACAGTTGTTAAACTAGCTTAGGACTGCTTAAAAACTTAATTTGTACGACTCAGATCCTTAAAAGTTTAAAATATAAGTTACACCTGCAGCACTGCTACTGTGTGTTTTATGTGTCACGTTATATCACTATCAGTAGTCAATAACTACACATTATTATTATTATATGTTATAGCTTTCTCAAATACACCACTAAGTATACAGTATAACTTTATCTTCTTATAATCTAAATCTTCCTAATACCATCAGAAAGAGCTGGTTCCCTGCTGAACTGTCCAACTTGCAGACAACCCTTCTCAGTGCCTTTCAACGGCACTTTCGGGTTCCCAGTAAACTTGAGTGTCAACAACCTCTTAGAAATAGGTAGGACCTGGGAGAAAACACAACAACCTCTTAGAAATAGGTAGGACCTGGGAGAAAACACAAAACCCTCTTAGAAATAGGTAGGACCTGGGAGAAAACACAACAACCTCTTAGAAATAGGTAGGACCTGGGAGAAAACACAAAAAACTCTTAGAAATAGGTAGGACCTGGGAGAAAACACAACAACCTCTTAGAAATAGGTAGGACCTGGGAGAAAACACAACAACCTCTTAGAAATAGGTAGGACCTGAGAGAAAACACAACAACTTCTTAGAAATAGGTAGGACCTGGGAGAAAACACAACAACCTCTTAGAAATAGGTAGGACCTGGGAGAAAGCAAAACAACCTCTTAGAAATAGGTAGGACCTGGAAGAAAACACAACAACCTCTTAGAAATAGGTAGGACCTGGAAGAAAACACAACAACCTCTTAGAAATAGGTAGGACCTGGGAGAAAGCAAAAAAACCTCTTAGAAATAGGTAGGACCTGGAAGAAAACACAACAACCTCTTAGAAATAGGTAGGACCTGGGAGAAAACACAACAACTTCTTAGAAATAGGTAGGACCTGGGAGAAAACACAAAAACCTCTTAGAAATAGGTAGGACCTGAGAGAAAACACAACAACTTCTTAGAAATAGGTAGGACCTAGGAGAAAACACAACAACCTCTCAGAAATAGGTAGGACCTGGGAGAAAACACAACAACTTCTTAGAAATAGGTAGGACCTGGGAGAAAACACAACAACCTCTTATAAATAGGTAGGACATGGGAGAAAGCACAACAACCTCTTAGAAATAGGTAGGACCTGGGGGAAAACACAACAACCTCTTAGAAATAGGTAGGACCTGGGAGAAAACATAACAACCTCTTAGAAATAGGTAGGACCTGGGAGAAAACACAACAACCTCTTAGAAATAGGTAGGACCTGGGAGAAAACACAACAACCTCTTAGAAATAGGTAGGACCTGGGAGAAAACACAACAACCTCTTAGAAATAGGTAGGACCTGGGAGAAAACACAACAACTTCTTAGAAATAGGTAGGACCTGGGAGAAAACACAACAACCTCTTAGAAATAGGTAGGACCTGGGAGAAAACACAACAACTTCTTAGAAATAGGTAGGACCTGGGGGAAAACACAACAACCTCTTAGAAATAGGTAGGACCTGGGAGAAAACATAACAACCTCTTAGAAATAGGTAGGACCTGGGAGAAAACACAACAACCTCTTAGAAATAGGTAGGACCTGGGAGAAAACACAACAACCTCTTAGAAATAGGTAGGACCTGGGAGAAAACACAACAACCTCTTAGAAATAGGTAGGACCTGGGAGAAAACACAACAACTTCTTAGAAATAGGTAGGACCTGGGAGAAAACACAAAAACCTCTTAGAAATAGGTAGGACCTGAGAGAAAACACAACAACTTCTTAGAAATAGGTAGGACCTAGGAGAAAACACAACAACCTCTTAGAAATAGGTAGGACCTGGGAGAAAACACAACAACTTCTTAGAAATAGGTAGGACCTGGGAGAAAACACAACAACCTCTTATAAATAGGTAGGACATGGGAGAAAGCACAACAACCTCTTAGAAATAGGTAGGACCTGGGGGAAAACACAACAACCTCTTAGAAATAGGTAGGACCTGGGAGAAAACATAACAACCTCTTAGAAATAGGTAGGACCTGGGAGAAAACACAACAACCTCTTAGAAATAGGTAGGACCTGGGAGAAAACACAACAACCTCTTAGAAATAGGTAGGACCTGGGAGAAAACACAACAACTTCTTAGAAATAGGTAGGACCTGGGAGAAAACACAACAACCTCTTAGAAATAGGTAGGACCTGAAAAAAAACCTTTAATACCAATAGGATACCAGGACGGGGTAATTTGCTTTTCACTGGTGTTGGATAAGATATGGCAAGTGGCAAAATTCACTTTTTTAGGGAGGGATATTCATTTCAATGTACAATATTTTGTGGAGCCAAACTACTTGTACTAATGAAACAGTCAGGTTTTATTCCAAAAAATGTATCAAAAACATTATTATGGTTACCACAAAAATAACATAATGTTATGTTAACATCATGCATCTAATTACAAGGATGTATTGAATAATAAATTAATAAAATCTCAGCGGATTTGCTAACATTGGAAAGAGGTGAGGACAGAAGAACGTTATCGAAAATACGAGTTTGTAAGAACCACCGCACAGAAATAATCAAAGTGAGTAAAATAAAAGTTTTTGTAAATACTCAGAATTTGTTCAGTGCACAATCAATAGGATTATTTTTTGATACAGATAATAATGCCGCATATAACAGTATTGGTGATCTAATTTGCTTTTAAATACTTTGACGCTTGAATCCGTCGTCTTGACAATTCGCGAGGTTACTCGTTATACTCCCATTTGAAACTAGACAGTGACATAAACTGTGGACAATCTGTTTTAACCACCTCACTACGTAGCAACCACACCTCACTACGTAGTAACCACACCTCACTACGTAGTAACCACACCTCACTACGTAGCAACCACACCTCACTACGTAGCAACCACAGCTGCCAGATCATGTAACCGAGTCATCGGACAGACCCGTTCCCACAGGTTCTTCTTCTGTACAAACCTCTCCACAGTTAAAGCGTGCGACTTAACAGAGAACCCTCCAATAGCGTAAATAAACTTATCATTAACCACCACGCCCATACCATCCCTTGGAGCCAGAAGAGGAGAGATCTTCCTCCAGGAGTTAGATCTAGAGTCGTAACACTCGCAGTCCGCTATAGCACGCCCCCTCCTGCCCCCTACAGCATACATCGTCCCTCTAATCGCACAGAGTCCCAGCCTCTCTCGGGGCAGCAGCATGGGGGCCACATAACTCCACTTATCATTACCAGGAAGGTACACCTCCACACTGTCCAGAACACAATCTCCATCGTACCCCCCAGCCGCGAACATGTGGCCCCCCGTGCTGGCTACCCCTAGCCAGCACCTCTCCATGTTCATCGGGGACAATGTCATCCACAGCTCTGTGTCCGGTTCGTATTTCTCTGCGGTGTTCAGGATGGTTTCCCCGTTGTGGCCTCCTGTTACGTATATGTGGCCGTTTATAACGCAGGACCCATGTCCGGACCTTTTGTAACGCATCTTGGTGGAAGCTACCCATTTATCTGAGTCTATGAGGTATATTATAGTGCTGTTCAGGATACCTCTTTTGTCGTTCTCGCCTCCTAAAATGTAGATCTTGTTTTTAATGCACACAGCAGAGGCCTCTCTTCGTGGGGCTCTCATCTTACCTCTTTTACTCCAGTTGTTGGTTCTGGGGTTGTAACAATCCACATGGTGTTCAGTTCCCTCGCCCCCGAAAATAAATACCATACCTGACTGAACACCCTGCCTGGGGGAAGGACCACTTGTCTCCACCGCTCCGGTCGACCCTTTTAGAATGTGAAAATCTTTAGCACTGTCCAACATTTGTCTGCAGACGGGATCCTCCAACAGTATCTTCTCTCTAGCAACAATCTCCAGGAGGTAGATGGGAGGGATTAGAGGGAACCTGACATGAGTCAGGAGCTCTGACAGGTGCTTCTTTCTCCGCTCCTGGTTATGGTTTACCCACTTCATCACCGCTTCATACACCATCCTCTCCTCGTCCACATTCAGATCATCTGCTGATATCAGCTCGTACACTTTCTCAAATGGCATGAGTCTGTACGCCTCCTCCTCAATCACCTCCTTAAACCTCGATTTGGAGACCCTCAGGGCGGCGTTATAGAGTCGCTCAATCTCCTGCTGCTCCGAGAATCTCAACCTGTCAATACAGTTGTTGTGATCCAGACCCTTCTCCAACACGTCCACACACAGGTCCCTCAGATCAGTCAGCTGGAATAGGTCCACCACACAGTACAGGTTCTCAACATTGCTCTCCTTTATCGTTATCTTCCCCGTGTAGATGTAGTCGATGGCAGTGCGGACTGCGGTGGACTCCACGTTGTGGAGGACAACTTGTGCGATGTGATCGTTTGAGTAGCGGCTGTCGAACAGGGTCTGGAAGTAGGGGCTCCCGTATGAGAGTATTGCTCGATGTACTCCTGGGTGGGGAGTATGTGTAACGTGGTTACTGATTATTCTCCATTTTAGCTGTATTTGGCAATAAAGTATAAATTGGAAGGGTATATAATCAATACTTTAGTTTGCTTGTTGGAGACTGGAGTTTATTGTTTTCATTAGGAAAAGCAAAGTTGGCACATCGCCATTCAACAGCCACCCTTACACTCTTATAACATCCAAATTTCAGCTAACAAAAGAAATAGTACTTTCTGCCTTCTGCCTTCTGGAATTATAAAAATTAGCTCAAGCTCTGTACTACCGATCTGCTCCTCGTCTACGACCAGGGTGGCATCACAGAACAACTCGTGTTGTTTGTACGTGTAGAAAGCTTCTATCAGAGACTCCGCGTGCCTCGGCTTCTTGTAATCCATGTCCCTCTACACTGAGTTTACGTTGCTACGGAGACCCGGAATTAGTAAGGCTCCCAGTAATTATTAGTGAATCTGGTGATTTAATTTACAAATATGAGCGGGAAGAATAGAGTGACAATGAAAGAAAAGGCGGGCTTTTACGATAAGAGATTAGTAGGAAATTATAAAGTTCAATTGAAATGGAATAAACGCATAATGTAATCTACGTAAGAAACTAAGAAAGTATCTCGATGACGCAAAGCTAACTTTAAAAAGAAGAGGGCCAAACAGTTGAGTATGCTGTTACGTTGGTTGCCATGGTAACAGTATGACTAATTCTGCCAATGTATGTCCATTGAGTTATCAAATTACTCTAACAATATCATTATATCAATTTCACTGTGGTGGTGCACCCCTGAAACTTGGACCAATTTAGAAAATTGATATCAGCTCAGGAAAAAGGTTAAAAGATGTGATAGAGGAATACCAATAACTCAATTAAATGAAATATAAAATGAACTGAGGACCGCAGCAGATGGAACGATTGACCAATGAAGTGGCTGCTAACTGTTTTACTCCTCAATGATCCTGGCATGGCCTGATAGTAGGCTTGCACCTGGGTAAAATTTAATTATCAACACGAATCGACTTCAACTTTCGCATTTCGTAATATTCAAAATTTAGGAGTCGAACCGCAGAAACTGGATAGGTTTGATCAATGTTGGTGTTAAATCACGGGGAATTTTCCAAGCACGCTGGAAGAATTATGTCTTTCGATGAATTTTAATCCTATTATAAGGAAACAGTGTTTAACCTCCAGGGTTTATATCACCTCCCCCATTTTTGTTACTCAGGGTTACTCAGGGTTACTCAGGGTTACTCAATTAGGTTACTCAAGGTTACTCAGGGTTACTCAGGGTTACTCAATTAGGTTAGTCAGGGTTACCACCCTCTTTTTGATCAGGAGATCTGTTGTACGCTGTGTTACTCAGGGTTACTCAGGGTTACTCAGGGTTACCACCCTCTTTTTGATCAGGAGAGCTGTTGTACGCTGTGTTACTCTGGGTTACTCAGGGTTACTCAGGGTTACTCAGAGTTACTCTGGGTTACTCAGGGTTACTCAATACTCAGGGTTACTCAGGGTTACCACCCTCTTTTTCATTAGGAGAGCTGTTGTACGCTGTGTTACTCAGGGTTACTCAGGGTTACTCAGGGTTACTACCCTCTTTTTGATCAGGAGAGCTGTTGTACGCTGTGTTACTCAGGGTTACTCAGGGTTACTCAGGGTTACTCAGGGTTACTCAGGGTTACTCAGGGTTACTCAGGGTTACTCAGGGTACTCAGGGTTACTCAGGGTTACTCAGGGTTACTCAGGGTTACTCAGGGTTACTCAGGGTTACTCAGGGTTACTCAGGGTTACTCAGGGTTACTCAGGGTTACTCAGGGTTACTCGGGGTTACTCGGGGTTACTCGGGGTTACTCAGGGTTACTCAGGGTTACTCGGGGTTACTCAGGGTTACTCGGGGTTACTCAGGGTTACTCAGGGTTACTCAGGGTTACTCAGGGTTACTCGGGGTTACTCAGGGTTACTCAGGGTTACTCAGGGTTACTCAGGGTTACTAGGGGTTACTCAGGGTTACTCAGGGTTACTAGGGGTTACTCAGGGTTACTCAGGGTTACTCGGGGTTACTCAGGGTTACTCAGGGTTACTCAGGGTTACTCAGGGTTACTCAGGGTTACTCAGGGTTACTCAGGGTTACTACCCTCTTTTTTATCACATGACCCCCCTCAGATGTACTGTAAGGAGTGTCAGGAGAGCTGTTGTACGCTGTGTGCCGTCACAACCCATAAACTTCACCAGACTCTGACCCTTACTCAGGCTAGCGAAGAGGTAGGAAACACTTCAAATACATTGTTAATACTTTATTATCGGTTTGAGACACAAAGAGATCATCAAGACCCAAATGGCATTGGTTTGGGACCCAAATGGCAGTTCCAACACATCACCCATATCTAAGGAGGCATATCATCAGTGGACGATGGCGTAGCGATTATTAATCAGAAACATATTTAAAATATTGGCCACTCGATTTATTTGATACGGTTCATAACTACAAAAAACTAAATGTCGAGCGTAATTAGTAAATTTATTAGTAACACTATCTTACTTTCACCCATCCCCGCTAGATAAGAACGAGACTGAGAAGTATTGATAAGGAGTGTACCTCATCTCAAGCTGAACTGGATGTCCGGCTTAACCATGTTAGGTGAGGTATCCTCCATTTAGGTGAGGTATCCTCCATTTAGGTGAGGTATCCTCCATTTATGCATCCCCTCATCCCCTGGTTAACAACGCAGTATCTGTTGCTTCAGTCTCTTGGTTACTTCCAAGGGTTACTTAGTAGTCAGTAACAGTAAAAACGTTGATTTGATCTTAACAACCTAGATAATAAAGTTAAGACAGGAATCCTTCTTCATCTTGGTACTTGGGAAATAATAATATAGCTTATTATAGAACTTTCTAGCAATATACATCCAATCTTGAATTTCAGTTCCCAGAAAGGAATGCTGGAAGGTTCGACAGCGACCGCTAAGAAGTTGATAACAGAGTCAGTGGAACAGTGTATCACCGCAATAAAGAGCAGGGAGAAGAACCTGATGGCAGCTCTAGATCGGGACAAAAGATTATCACAGGAGATTCTAAACAGACAAAGAGAACGACTCATTTCTAAGAGAACTGCTCTTGAAAAGGTTGTTGTTTGTAAAATTGTATTTTTTATAGTTATATTGGCCTGGGACAGAGATTAACTAATCAGCTTTTAGCATTGCAGACGTGACTAATCAGTACTCAGAATCACTGTCACGTGTCAAAATTAATTTGGTTATCATATTTTATGAAAATTACATAATACCTGATAATAAAATAACAATCTGTATGAATTGAAGTTTAACACAAATGTAGAAATTCAAATAAGCCGAAGCGAAACAATGTGCAATGAATTATAAGCGTTCGACAAACAGCGCGTACATCACATCCTTAATATAACAACAATAGTAAACGTGTCTCAGAGAAAACAGAAGGTTCTAGAAACACTCCACTGTTCGGACGTGGAACTGATGAAGACAGACGTTGAGTTCAGTGCCCCCTCCACCCCCACTACAGTGTTTGGGGAAACCAAGAACATCGTATTTGAACCACATAACTTGGATAACATCTGCAGGGCAGCCAGGAGTTTGGGAGATCCCAATATTGTACTGTCACTCCAAACAGGTTCATTCATACAATTACACTCGCCAACATTGCTCTGGCTTAGTGCCAACATTGCTCTGGCTTAGTGGCAGTGCCAGCATTATTCCGGCTAGTGTCTGTCAGGGCACATTGAGATCCCGCTCGTTATTTGTTTTTAAATTTAGGCACCACTAGAGTAAACATTATTAATATAAAAATATTACAGACAGGTGACCGAGCAATTGTGTGAAACTATGAGCTGTGATCTCACTGTGGATTTAAGATTGAAAACAATAAATAACAAACATGACCACATCACTAAACTAACACCCCAGTTCCGCCCCCTGCAGGCAGTTCAGCATTAACAGGACAGTTAGTGGGAGGTAAGGGGACCGAGTCCGGGGAGTTCCAGTACCCACTCGGACTCAGATCACACGGGGGCGCACTTTACATCGCTGACGCAGGTTCACTATCATACATTAACATGATTAAAATGTGCATGGATATCGAAAAATGTTAAATGCAATTTCAAAATACAAAAGTGTGAGGCGTGAGCTACATTTAATTTAATTTTAAGGTGTTTTGAGAAATTGCACATTATTATTGAGAGATTATTGCACAATACACATGCTTAACCCTTGTCCCCAGGTAACAACAGGGTGCAAATCCTAAACTCCACCCTTCAACACGAACTGAGTATTACCAGTGATGGAGACAGCTCACCTTTTGATAGGCCTAATGATGTTTGTATTGATAAGAACGGGATGATTATTGTAGCGGATACATTTAGGTAGACATCTTTTTATTATCTTAAGAATTTATTAAATTACCTTTATTTGAACGGACATTAATTAGACGCTGGAGGCACTTAAGCGTTCATTTAAACAAATGATCGTGAACTGAATATCTAAACACTTCATAGCTGTTCAAAAATATCATAATAATAACTTATCGATATATTCTCCAAAATATCTCCTCCCACCTGCACAGCATATCACTTCAATAAAAGAAACCTCTCCTCAACAGGAACTCTCTTCACTGGTACACACAAGAAGGCTGCCACCAAAGAACCCTGACTGGTATCCTGAACCGGCCCTTCTCAGTCTGCGTCAACTCTGAGAACTCAGTGGTGGTGGCTGATACGGGCAACCACCGGGTTAGGGTCATCTCTCAGTCCGGGAAGCGGAACTTAGTGTTCGGGAAATACGGGAAAGAGGAGGGAGATTTTGATGGGCCTCATTCGGTGGCAGTTGACAAGTATGATAATATTTACGTGGCAGATTTGTACAATCAGAGGCTTCAGGTAGGCAAATTTCATTTTCAACTGAAATTAAATGATTCTTTGTCGACGTTTCGGCTACATGCCTTTGTCATAGACTTGTTAATTGTATGGGTTTCAAGATGTTATTTGTTGTTGTAATATTTCGTAATATTAATAGATTATTTTAACATCGTAACTTTGCAGCTATGTAAGTTATCAATACGTCCTGTCTATGACAAAGGCATGTAGCCGAAACGTCGACAAAGAATTATGTTTTAACACACTGAGTGGAGACTCTCACTTCGTCAACTACAATTCAAAATAAATGAAATTAAATGAGACTAGAATATATAACAATCTTGTAGGTCATATATTTGTAAAATCTGTTTGTCAATCCTTTTATCCACCCTTCTTGGATACTTCTTATGACTTTATGAGCATAACAGCATAATTAGGATAATAACAACAGCAACTTATCAGGTATTTGACAGCGAGGGAAAGTATCTACGAACAATTGGAAGCAATCTGCATCTCCAAGCTCCTCGTTCAATTGCAATCAACCGTGGAAAAATCTACATCGTCGACTGGGGCTACACTTTCATACAGGTTCAGAGGGCCAATTAGGCCCAATTAGGCCAAATTATACTAACGGTTCTGAATTATAAAGAGAAAAAGTATCAAAAACTTTATGGTGTATTGCGGTTGATCAAGTGATAAATAATGAGTAGTTGCTTGACTCTTCTTAAACAATAAACATGTATATCGTCACCAAACCTTGTTTGAACTATTATAACCTTGTACAACTGAATAATATCCGATAATCACTAGGTTCTGAACCTGAAAGGAGCCCAGCTGCTTCAGTTTGGAGTCTACACACTTCAAGGAGAACAAATCACCCCCAACTCCATTGCTACAGATCCCGAGGATAGACTGTACGTTAGTGACTGCAACAATCACAAGGTCTACATGGTCAAGATGGAAAACACATGATTTAATGCACGTGCAACAATCACAAGGTCTACATGGTCGAGATGGAAAACACATGATTTACTGCACGTGCAACAATCACAACTACATGTTCAAGATGGAAAACACGTGATTTACTGCACGTGCAACATGAATCACAAGGTCTCTGAGTGGTTACCAGGTTTAATGAGCAACAGATTGGAGTAAGATTATGATGTGTTACATGAGCTGATGAGCTAGCTCCTTGCATTGCAGAAACAGCTGGAGAAAGGCAAATCACACGGTAAATCGAGAAAAGAACTATGTTTGATATCATAAGCACCAGCAGGTTAAATTGGTGAAGTATATTTAGACAGCACAGGAGAAAGGATTGTGATAACACACCTCATCATCACGTCTACAGCTTACTCAGTTAACTGTGTAATATTGGGACGAGATGGCTGATTTGAGGGAAACTTTGCTAGTTGTTAAGATACATTTTAGATTATAGTATACTGTATACTGTATACTGTATACTTATACTCGTTATTGAGTGAACAAAGATAACAGTCTTAGAGTAATTGTGACTGATATAGAAATGACCGGAAGTTTTCAGATATTTTATTGATAACATTTGTATCAAAGGTGTAATTGAATTTCATATTTCTGTTCTAGAACTTCGTAGTTCTTAAGTTTAAGTAAGATGAAAAGAATTAATACAACTAAATAACGAATCGTATAAATTATTGAGTTTTACGAAATATACATAACCATAAAGCTTGATCAAAGCACAGCTTTGGACGGTTTTCTAACTCTTGTCTCTTAATCGTTCAACAGAAATCAAACATAAACAAGGTTTAGAACAATTGGCTTAACAATCCATCGCGTATATCTTAACAAAATCTTCCGTGCAACAAATTTACAAAAACACACTGAACTAACACAAAAGGAAACATTCGCACATTTATATTCGTATATTAAATAATACTGCACCAGCTGTAAAGAAACTGGAACATGAACGATAAAAAAGTTGGGATCTTAAATGACCCTGTCGGTTACAAAATGACGCGAGGTAAAAATCTGACGTAAATAATATAGGGTCCAAATAAGTCAAAAGTGTTCGGAGATTAGAGCCATCTGGGTAGAGGAGACTGACTTAAGTTACTGACCAAATAAGGAGTGGAAGAGAGATCAGCGTCTCATCTCGTTCTCTTTATTTCACTTCTGAAATCTCGTCATCGTTGATGATGTAAGTTTTTGTGGAGTCGTCTTTCGAGGAATGCCTAAGGTATTGGGTAGAACTGGTGGAGGTAGTATGAGAAGAAGAAAGAGTCAACGGTTCTGTAGTTTGAAAAGAGCAGTGAATAACCAGATTTGCAATAAATTTTTGAAATAAAACAACGCCAACAATTTGCATTGTTTTCAGCCGACAAAAGATTAAAATTTCTAGAAGAACTTTGATTCAGATCGTTAAAACACATAACACGTGACAAAACTCATAACACGTGACAAAAACTCATAGCACGTGACAAAACTCATAACACGTTACAAAACAAATAACACGTGACAAAAACACATAACACGTGACAAAACTCATTATAACACGTGACAAAACTCATAACACGTGACAAAAACACATAACACGTGACAAAAACACATAACACGTGACAAAACACATAACACGCGACAAAAACACATAACACGTGACAAAACTCATAACACGTGACAAAACTCATAACACGTGACAAAACTCATAACACGTGACAAAACTCACGCAGTTGCGAGGTCCGCCAAGTCCTCCTCGTCAGGATGGGTGTAGTCTGTTTCTACTTCTCTGTTCATCCTCTCATATATTACAGGGTAGGTGACAGCTAGCTTCCCCTTTATCGACCTGTACAGAACGTGTTATTTGTATTTTCCATTTATAATTTTCTTCATTATATAATCTGGAATCTGCTTGGATGCTCATTTTATCGGTAGGAGACAAACAAACGAAACTTGAAAACTATGTCCACCTAGAAAACTCACTGTATCCGTTTAAAAGCTGTGTCCACATCCCGCCTCATCTCCACCAAGAGACGGGTGTAATACTTAAAGTTCTGAGCAGCCTTGTCGTACTGAGCAGCTGATAACTGGTTACAGCTCTTTAGCTTCTCGTTAGTACATTCCAGTTTGTTTAACCTGTAAGATGAAAATTGAATAAGAAACCTATGATCTGGGTATGTTAACTCAAACTGCTATGTGGCGCAGTTCGTTGGTCGGCCTGCTTGTGAAATGCCTCGCATTCACAGGGTCCCGGGTTCGATTCCCGTCTGTGCCGCTAGCCACGGGGCGAGCGTCGTTGACGCTCTGCAAAGGGTTCCGTTGGACCTATGCAGCCCCCGGTCTACTCAGCTGAATCCTCGAGAAATCGTGTGTGAGGGTTAAATGAGGAGCTGTACATGATCAATACAGCGAAGCTTCGGGCGAAGAAAGTGTGGTATTTATATTAACAGTCGCTGGCCTTAGTACTTGATCTTTCGGTTTCTTGTAAGTGCCGCCTACAGCGTAACTATGTAGCCATGGTTGTCCGAAGTAAAGCATAAGGGTGGTCATTTCAGTTGATGGCCCTGCTGCAGCGCAGCTAAAACAGCAAATAAGTAAAATAAGTAAGTAAGCTAGTTTAAGTAAGGTATGTTACGGGAGTACATTGGTGCAGGTCGCTCGAATGATTGAGGAGACCTAATCAAGTCCCAAATCAATTATTATTACTGAGTCTATGAGTATCATGGGTGGCTCATCTGTGCAGCAATATTTTGCAGAGATATGAAGACTCAATTATGATGTTAAGATAACGTTCCGAATGTTATTTTTCTATCCAAGTCTACCCCATTCCACCTTTCGTCTGAGTTAACTCATTTTTCTAATATCCCTTACTCCACTAAGCATACTTAGCATCTAATTTTACCCATTTAATCAAATTTTGAAGGACAAGAGAACAGTTAAAGAATATTTTTGAAGGGTTATCTTGTTTATTAAATTTAATTTTCTTCTCAGCAAGAGAAGAGAGTGAACACGGAGACAACCAGGACTACTCTCATGCTGCTGCTCTGCAAGTCAGCTTCATTATTTTCCTGTTTGTGAACATGAACATCTAAACTTGTTCTATACTGGATTGGTTCTGCCTATTAGCAGGGTGTTCTATCGGGATGTGACACAAACAAATATAAACTCAGAATAAGAACTGAAACTTTAAAGCATGAATGAAGATAATATGTATAGATAATATTTAGACACGGCAGAACGGGATCTATCTCAAAACAGCAATGAGTGCCCCTGGGGAGGACTGATGAGGTGTCTGTCTTTGTTTAAACCCGAAATGCAGTTGAAGTATTTACACTTAAACAGATGTTTTAGAATTATGTAATGTAACGTGATGGAAATATTTTAAACGGTCATATCCTGTCCAAACCCATGATGCACTACATGAAGAATTCGTTGTAACTTTATTTGAAAAGCATTAATAGATCTGGATGCTGGTGATTTGCCAGATAATATGCTGGCGAGGTGCTAGATATGGTCAACCTACATTTTCCACCACAGTCTTTAATTGACATCTTTTTTCAAGTGATGCATGATACAAGAGCGACTCGTTGCGCGTTTTTTTATATTATCATTTATTCAACTATTGTTTACCTAAATTCAATAATGATCTCAACGACGGCTGGAAGAAAATATCTTCCTGGGCAGAACAGATAAACTCACTGCTTAGTCAGAAAAACCATTGTATAGAAACAAATAAAAATGTCCTGCTGGTCTAAAAAATATGTGGGTTTTGGTACTAACTTACTAACTGAAATCAGACAAGCATCAAAATAACAACACCTCTTATGAATCTTCTCGGAAACTTCAAAATACCACTACGCTAAATACTTTCTATTGTTCAAGACAATATGCTCTTCAGTTCATCCAACTGATCCAGTGCCTTTTTCAGGTCCATCTTCACTTCCTCCATCTCCTCAGCGTGTATAGTCATCAAGTCCTCCACCGTTTTACCCTGCTCCGAGACGAGGTCCTTGTAACCCCTTACATCCTGCACCAAGTCCCGAACCAGAGACAACACCTTGTTGATCAGGTAGCTATTTTTGACGGATTTATTGTCGAGAGGTTGGGATAGTTGTAGGGAAGGAAGCAGGCATATTATTGATATGATCAGAGAATGTCGGAGCATGTTCGTTGTAAAAGTAATATTTTTCACAATACTTCCTATTTTACGACGGCGGCAAATTCGGCGAATCAGTTAAATGGGAGTATGAAAACTTCTTTTTTGGAAAGTTTGTCAGACATTTTGCTGATCTGATTGTCTTGTTAAGCTATCTTTAAGAAACGTTTAAAAAATCGCTCTTACAACAGAAGATAATTGATGTTAAATCAATTCTGTTTTCGTGGCAAATTGATTTAACACTGCCATGAAGAAGACTGCTAACAATAGCTCTAACAGGAAATATAAAACAGATGGTCGAAAAGCCCCGCAGAAACGAAAAACAACTCCAACCACCTGTTTAAGCAACCTGGGCTATTTTTACGATCGTTGATGCCATGGTTTAATATAAATTATAAAAGCGCCCTTTCTGCGATTGATATGGGCATTGGGCAGCCCAATATGGTGAACATTATCAACTACGTGTGTTAACAGTTACAGAAAATGATTTTAAGACAGACTCCAGCAATAAAATACAAGAATACTACTAAATTAACACTGTTTACTATTTATTTTTGTGTCCCTCAAAAATTACTAAATTAACAACAGGTATACTTTTTATTTTTCAATGTCCCTCAGAATATTACTAAATTGGTGTTTAACCGAGGTATCAATTATATCTCGTCTTCACCGAAAGGTCCTGTTCCGAAGACTTGTATCTCCAGAAAATTGACGGTCATTGTCGCCGGCTGTTTGACATAAATTTTCGAGGCATAAACATCACCGCTCACTGGGATATTGTACAGATACTTCACCCCCTTCGTTACACCAACTAATGTATCATCAGCGTATATCAAGAGTCCAGGATTGCGACCATCACAGCACGATGAGGTTCTTTTCCAAAGTTTTACTGTATGGATCTTGAACCGAGCTCCTAGGTCTATCATCACCATCATGTTTGGACCCACTTGGTTATCAGCAGTGTGTTGGACAGGATTTATGCCACTTTCATCATCAGTCATTCTGTAAACACCATCCACCAGGAAGTCCGAGTGATATCTGTCACTTTGCGTACTGTTCTGCCACGTAAGTTTGTGCTGGGATATAAGTCGCACTTCAGATCTCATTACATCCATCCTGCTCTTCAGTCCATCCAACTGATCCAGTGCCTTTTTCAGGTCCATCTTCACTTCCTCGACATCTCTTCAGCGTGTTTAGTCATCAAGTCCTCCACCGTTTTACCCTGCTCCGAGACGAGGTCCTTGTAACCCCTTACATCCTGCACCAAGTCCCTTACAACCCAAGAGAGAGTGTTGTGACCACCCCCTAGCATGTTGTGCATCTCCTCTCTGAGGGACACGGCTTCTTCTCTGATCTGTAGTTGGAGGGTTGCTAAATCTAGAGATCCTGGTGGCTTATTGGTCTCCCCAGAGGCTTGGAGATCATGGGCTGTCAGCATACATAAGAGATATGTTAGTGAGAGAAACTGGCGGATCATATTTAATTGAAATAGCACTCACAAACACATTAAAGCAACTGAACCAAAATCGAAAATAACAGTTGATTCAGGTTAATTCCTACGTGGAGCATCGAGAGGGATGATAAATACTGTTATCTCACAATTTAATTAGTTTTACCCCGAACTTCGATCGTTCGCGTTGGTTCCTGACCAGACAAGACTCAAAATACGGTAGTTCTCCTACGTAATTCAATTTGTAATATATTATATAAGGATGGTTTCCTCCATTATCCTTTTCTTGTGAAGATTACCAGAATGAAAGATTACCAGAATGAAAGGTGAATTGTGATGATAATATTAAATACATCGTCAAATATTTCATTATTTGTTATAAACTTTAAGACTACCCAAGATGGTTCTTGAATAGTTAAATCAACAACAAGATCAAAGCAAGAGCTTACATGTATTTCTGTTTAGTGGTAATATAGATGACGTCATCCTTTGGTAGGACGGACGCCAGCCGGGAGATAAGCAGGTCAGAGGCTGGATGATCCTCGGAAATGTGTATCGAGTCTGGTACGCTCAGTCCACTAATTAAACTGGTAATTTGGGATTTGTTGTTATCGTAATTGTGTAATGAAACCATCTCAAATATATCATATAAATTATCAGCGGTATAATTAACTTTTCTCACATCAAATATGGGAGTTGAGATGGTATAGCCACTGGTTATTAAGCAGTGAATAGGAAACATGAATATTTTAGCTGATTAACAGATGTACTACCTGGAGGAGCGACCTCCTTGAAGAGGTACCGTGGTATCGTCAGTGTGGACCGTTAACTCCGACTCAAAACTCAAGTCTCCGTACGTTTCACTCGTCTGCAAAGAAATGGGGTTTTTTTACAGTTTACAATTTACATATGACATATACATTATACATTATACAACCGCGGTGAATCGGGGTTTAACTGTACATTGCTCATGATTAAACTAATTCTACAAATATTTCAAATATTTGTGCTAGCAACTAGTAACAAGCGATTAAACTAAATGAAGGAAACTCAATGATTATAGCTACCGTGTGCTCCCGACTAGAGATACTAGGAGGTAACTCAGAAGAGGGAGTAGACTCCACTGACGAGGAGTACTCCACTGGGTCCATCATTTTAAGAGCTTCAATGTCTCCCTCGGCTATCTGGAGGCTCGGTTTTATCACCACATTAGGGTACATGCAGCGGGAAACTTGAGGCTGCTTAGAGGTTTCCGGTGAGGTTTCTTCCTCCGGGATCGTTGATTCTGAATCTGGTTGCTCCTGTACATCTAAAGAAGCTGCATTTGAATAGTCCTGAATTTTTGAAGATGGAAGAGCTTGTTGCTCCATAATTTCCGAAGAAGCAGTTTCTACTTGATTCGGAATTTCTGCAGAAGTTATATCTGCTTGGTTCTGTATTTGTGTTTCTGAAGCTGGGATATCTGATTGCTGGATTTCTGATACTGGAATATCGGGGTTCACCTGATCCGTCATTTCAGAAGCCAGTGCATCTTCTTGGTTTGAAATTACTTCAGTCTGAGAATCAACATCTAGTCGCTCCGTCATTTCAGAAGCCAGTGTATCTTCTTGGTTTGAAATTACTTCAGTCTGAGAATCAACATCTAGTCGCTCCGTCATTTCAGAGGCCAGTGTATCTTCTTGGTTTGAAATTACTTCAGTCTGAGAATCAACATCTAGTCGCTCCGTCATTTCAGAGGCCAGTGTATCTTCTTGGTTTGAAATTACTTCAGTCTGAGAATCAACATCTAGTTGCACCGTCATTTCAGAAGCCAGTGTATCTTCTTGGTTTGAAATTACTTCAGTCTGAGAATCAACATCTAGTCGCTCCGTCATTTCAGAGGTCAGTGCATCTACTTGGTTTGAAATTACTTCAGTCTGAGAATCAACATCTAGTCGCTCCGTCATTTCAGAAGCCAGTGCATCTACTTGGTTTGAAATTACTTCAGTCTGAGAATCAACATCTAGTCGCTCCGTCATTTCAGAAGCCAGTGTATCTTCTTGGTTTAAAATTACTTCAGTCTGATAATCAACATCTAGTCGCTCCGTCATTTCAGAAGCCAGTGTATCTTCTTGGTTTGAAATTACTTCCGTCTGAGAATCAACATCTAGTTGCACCGTCATTTCAGAAGCCAGTGTATCTTCTTGGTTTAAAATTACTTCAGTCTGAGAATCAACATCTAGTCGCACCGTCATTTCAGAAGCCAGTGTATCTTCTTGGTTTAAAATTACTTCAGTCTGAGAATCAACATCTAGTCGCTCCGTCATTTCAGAGGCCAGTGTATCTTCTTGGTTTGAAATTACTTCAGTCTGAGAATCAACATCTAGTTGCACCGTCATTTCAGAAGCCAGTGTATCTTCTTGGTTTAAAATTACTTTAACAGTCTGAGAATCAACATCTAGTTGCTCCGTCATTTCATAGGCCAGTGTATCTTCTTGGTTTAAAATTACTTCAGTCTGAGAATCAACATCTAGTCGCTCCGTCATTTCAGAGGCCAGTGTATCTTCTTGGTTTGAAATTACTTCAGTCTGAAAATCAACATCTAGTTGCACCGTCATTTCAGAGGCCAGTGTATCTTCTTGGTTTGAAATTACTTCAGTCTGAGAATCAAAATCTAGTTGCTCTTGAATTTCAGAAGCCAGTGTATCTTGTTGAATTTCTGAAGAAGCAACAACTGCTTGAATGGGTATTTCTGAAACAGGAGCTTTCAGTTTCTCGCTAATTTCAGATTCGTGAGTATCCTTTGGCGCCTTTCTTTCTAAATCAGCTGCATCAGCTTGCCCTGAAATTTCTGAAACAACAAAACCTGCCCTAGAGGGAAGAATTTGGAGTATGTCATGAAGGTCTGAGTTCGAAATCTGAGTTTGTTCTAACATAACTGAACTTTCGGTTAATTGCTCAACTCTAGTAGCTTGTTCCGAGGATTGTGAAGGAGTAACAACTATTTTCTCAGCGGGTTCTTCAGAAACTTTAGTTTTATCTGACAGCTTTAGCTCTGAGGTTGAAATGTTTATCTGGTTTGAAGATGCTTGTTGGGCATCAGAAGGGCAACCTTCATAGTTACCTGGAAGTTGAGAGACAGTTACATCGTATTGCTCAGGTATTGGAGTGTATATCACTGTTTCTGTAGAAAGTTGTAGGGAGCTCGTTGATTGCACCTCAAGATTTCCAGATTCTTCGGTTGAGTTAGAAGTAGCACCATCCTCTGTTTCAGATATCAGTGATTCGGTTCCAGAACCGTCAACAGGTGTAACAGTATCGAATAAATGGTTTTCAGTTTCACTATTAGGAGGAAGTATTGCTTCGTCAACCATTTCAGTTAAAGGTGATTCCAGATTCGTAGTCCCTAAGGAGTTAGTAGACAACTGATCCAGTGTATTTTGGATTTTTGAAGTAGGGGAGGAAACTTCATCCAACAAATTAGGCGAGGGGGGTAGTTTAGATTCGTCTGAATAATCAATGTTAGAACTTTGTTCTTTTGACGCCTCATCATCTTGAAAGGACCCTTCATCTAAACCGGGCGTTGTATTTGAATATGGTTCTGATTTCCAGTTATTTTTCTGATCAAAAGACACAGAAGGACTGATGACAGTATCCACAGACATGGCTTCTTGAGAAACTTCAGTTTGGACGGTCTCCACAGAGGTGGTCATCAGCTCCAAAGACGTCTCCAGTATTCCAACACCACCCTCCTCCTCCTCTGCTACTGTAGAGCTGTCTGGCATTTCATCAAACGCTTCATCTTCTGCAGAACCAGGACCCTCTTGAAGGGAGTATGGTAGGGTAAAGTCCGGACTCTGAGAAGATGTACCGAGGATGGCGATAGAAGAGACGGAAGACCTGATGGAGACCGTAGTGTCGTTACTGAGGGAGTTTCGTGCTCTTACGTGGTCGACATGATCAGTGATGTGCTCGGATGATCCGATAACGTTGATAGAAGATGAAGCAGGAAGGATGTCTATACTATCCGCCCTTTCTGTTAAGTTAGAAGAGGGATCCTCATCAATCACATTTTCTTCGCCACTGTCTTCTAATAACTCGACAGAACTTTGAGTTTTGAAAATTCTTGGATTGGAATTCGCAACGTTCAGATCTGGTACCGATCCTCGGGAAGAGGTTTTCGACAACTCAGCATCAGACACAACCACACTTACTGAACCCTCACCAAAACCTACTCCCTCAATACTTTCCATACTCCTGAAGATCGCATCTTTGGGATTGTGGTGGATCTTGCTGGGAGTGGACGCCACAACAGTCCTCTCTAGGTCACTCTGGTCACCTTCCACGGAGGTGTCAACACAAGAGTAGAAGCTGTCTGTACCACCTTTACAGGTGGTGAATGAAGCGTTCCGGACAGAATGAAAGGTTTGATCTGGAACTGAGATGTCACCAGGACTGGTAGGTGAGGATTCAATAGGACTGGTAGGTGAGGATTCAATAGGACTGGTGGGTGATGATTCAATAGGACTGGTGAGTGAGGATTCACCACAATTTGAGGAGGAGATTGCAGTTTGGTTTTCTTGAGGAGGTTGTCTTGGGTACGTTATCGGTTGCTGTTCTGCGCATTCCGAGCCATCCATTTCATCCTGCTAATGTATAAAATGGGATTTAATTGACCATTGTATTGGATCTTGTGTGCAGTTTAATTATAATAATAGTGCACCTTTACTATTACTATTTGAAACCAAGAGCCAATCGTGGAATTGTGTGATTGATGTTACGAATTATCTGTGTGTTTAATAGAGATCATTGAAGCTACCAAAGAACGAGGGACAGGGATCATTTTAATAAAAATAACATTTTATTCTCAGCTGTCAAATAGCACGGGAGGGGGGCACAAAGGGTTAAATAAACTGTGTACATCTAAAATAGTATACTTGGGGAAAAGCGACTTTTCAATTACGAAACTGTAAAAGAACTCTTTAACTTTAATTCATTAAAATAGTTGGAAAATCATTATCCTTATCTATCACTGAAATAAACCAGACACATGAATAAACTGTCAAAATAGCATGCAGAAATCCTTAACCGAATAGTGTAAAACAACGATTCGCGAACCGTCGAACCATTTACATCATAAACAAAAACCGCGTGAAAACCTTGCTTGGTCTCAAATTTAAATTAAATATCAAGATACCTTCGCTAACTACATTTTCACTACGTATGAGACGAATGTGTATTCAAGGGATGATTTAGTTACAAGGAGCTTAACTATAATGTACATTGTTCAGTGTACACATGTATATAATTGTCCCCTTATAATAGGATGAATAAGACTTGCTATACGGCAAAACACACGTGTGTCACACGTGACAAATATATGTGTCCACACGTGACGTATGTTTGCATATTTCATTGGTCGCTATGACAATCATCAGTGAGAATAGATTTGTACACCTCCCCATTAGTTCAGTGAAAATGTCAAGCCCTAAACAGACCCGGCAAACCAGGACGGTTTAAATCTGGTAGAACTGATGTTGTATTGTAAACTTCCAGGCTTTAATGTACAGCACTCATCTCAGGACGAATCATCAACCTAGAAGACACATTCGCGAACATGCATAGGGATGCTAGTTATTAGGGAAACACGCAGTATAGTATTGAAAGTCAAGCATGTGATAGTCTTACAAATATTTTCAAGACAGTTCATATCTATAGAGTGGCTAGATTTATGTATTTACAAAAATTAAAAAACCTGCAGAAAATAAGTTTAAAACCCATCAAATTAATAACTAACAATACCTATACAATAATTCACAGGGTTTGTTACATATACATTGCAGAGTAGACAAAATAACGGCAGATTATATTTCGTTCGATAGAGTTAAATTTGACAAATTAAATCATAAAAGAAACCCTTGATTTAAACTGAAATTTTAAAAATAGGACTATCAATAGCAACAAATTCGAAACTGAAATGAGATTTCAGTCTGTCCGAGAGTGGACAGATGTTTCACTCTAAATCTTGGTTTAGAGTGAAAAATCAATTCAGCTAGCAACAGTTCGACTCAATTAAATTGACGCAAAATTCATGGCTAATCTGACAACCTATAATCTTATTATGATATTAAGAAATCAAACTTAAAATGAAGTGTTCCTATAATAAGTGAGGAGGTTTGTTCAATAGAATCTCAGGTTGACCTCGGCTCAACGTTTGTTAAGTTTTGTAGCTCTATAACTTGACCAGGTCTCTGGAATGACAATAACGTTAGTTGGGAAAGTTATAAATATTATTAAATTATAAAAACCCATTACATCACCTCCCAGTACCCGCAAATCAAACCCGGAGATCACATAAAACACCCCCACACCACCCACGGCCCACACCCATCCCCCGACCCCCACCACTAACCATGTAACCAGTATGTTGTGTGTTGTATGTGACGGCCCCCACCACTAACCAGTAACCAGTATGTTGTGTGTTGTATGTGACGACCCCCACCACTAACCATGTAACCAGTATGTTGTGTGTTGTATGTGACCACTAACCATGTAACCAGTATGTTGTGTGTTGTATGTGACGGCCCCCACCACTAACCATGTAACCCGTATGTTGTGTGTTGTATCCCCCGACCCCACCACTAACCATGTAACCAGTATGTTGTGTGTTGTATGTGACGACCCCCACCACTAACCATGTAACCAGTATGTTGTGTGTTGTATGTGACGACCCCCACCACTAACCATGTAACCAGTATGTTGTGTGTTGTATGTGACCACTAACCATGTAACCAGTATGTTGTGTGTTGTATGTGACGGCCCCCACCACTAACCATGTAACCCGTATGTTGTGTGTTGTATCCCCCGACCCCACCACTAACCATGTAACCAGTATGTTGTGTGTTGTATGTGACCCCCACCACTAACCATGTAACCAGTATGTTGTGTGTTGTATGTGACGACCCCCACCACTAACCATGTAACCAGTATGTTGTGTGTTGTATGTGACCCCCACCACTAACCATGTAACCAGTATGTTGTGTGTTGTATGTGACGACCCCCACCACTAACCATGTAACCCGTATGTTGTGTGTTGTATGTGACCACTAACCATGTAACCAGTATGTTGTGTGTTGTATGTGACCCCCACCACTAACCATGTAACCAGTATGTTGTGTGTTGTATGTGACGGCCCCCACCACTAACCATGTAACCAGTATGTTGTGTGTTGTATGTGACGACCCCACCACTAACCATGTAACCAGTATGTTGTGTGTTGTATGTGACCCCCACCACTAACCATGTAACCAGTATGTTGTGTGTTGTATGTGACGACCCCCACCACTAACCATGTAACCAGTATGTTGTGTGTTGTATGTGACCCCCACCACTAACCATGTAACCAGTATGTTGTGTGTTGTATGTGACGACCACCACCACTAACCATGTAACCAGTATGTTGTGTGTTGTATGTGACGACCCCCACCACTAACCATGTAACCAGTATGTTGTGTGTTGTATGTGACGGCCCCCACCACTAACCATGTAACCAGTATGTTGTGTGTTGTATGTGACCCCCACCACTAACCATGTAACCAGTATGTTGTGTGTTGTATGTGACCACTAACCATGTAACCAGTATGTTGTGTGTTGTATGTGACGGCCCCCACCACTAACCATGTAACCAGTATGTTGTGTGTTGTATGTGACCCCCACCACTAACCATGTAACCAGTATGTTGTGTGTTGTATGTGACCACCACTAACCATGTAACCAGTATGCTGTGTGTTGTATGTGACCCCCACCACTAACCATGTAACCCGTATGTTGTGTGTTGTATGTGACGGCCCCCACCACTAACCATGTAACCAGTATGTTGTGTGTTGTATGTGACGGCCCCCACCACTAACCATGTAACCAGTATGTTGTGTGTTGTATGTGACGGCCCCCACCACTAACCATGTAACCAGTATGCTGTGTGTTGTATGTGACCCCCACCACTAACCATGTAACCCGTATGTTGTGTGTTGTATGTGACGGCCCCCACCACTAACCATGTAACCAGTATGCTGTGTGTTGTATGTGACGACCACCACCACTAACCATGTAACCAGTATGTTGTGTGTTGTATGTGACGACCCCCACCACTAACCATGTAACCAGTATGTTGTGTGTTGTATGTGACCCCCACCACTAACCATGTAACCAGTATGTTGTGTGTTGTATGTGACTGCCCCCACCACTAACCATGTAACCAGTATGTTGTGTGTTGTATGTGACCACTAACCATGTAACCCATCCCCACCACTAACCATGTAACCAGTATGTTGTGTGTTGTATGTGACTACTAACCATGTAACCAGTATGTTGTGTGTTGTATGTGACGGCGATGTAGCCGAGGTATACCACCAGACTCATGTATATGATCAGGAACAAGGTCACTAGCACGTACACGGGCATAGAGTCAGGTAGGAGCTGAAGGTAGGTGAAGACAAAGTAGCTGTTGATGCACATTACCCCTGCTGCTAGCAGCCACATCAGAGTACAGGATATCCTGCGATATTTCTATCTAGTCTAGACTTGTAGAATTATAGAAGTGATATTTTGGCTACAGTAATTATACTTAGTGCTTTAAATTTCAATTTGGGATATCACGAAGCGATAAACATCAGATTGGGCTATTAATATGAAACGATGAACATACAAAGTTGTGAAATATTGATATTATAAAATTGAGTGACATGTAGCGTGTCGAAATAAAATCAGCATCCAGTTTAATTTAAACAAATTGCCCGTACTCACTTGCTCATAGCAAACTCCCCCATAATCTTGTAACTGCCAGTAAAAGTAAGAATTGGAATTAAAGCAAAAGGTAACTGCAAACTCTGAAGGACATTCAACATCTCATTCCAACCACTGAAATTAGCTCCACTGATTATTGCTAGGGAGAGTGTCGGTCCAACAGCTATCAATCTGGTCACTAGAACTCGGACCCATCGAGGCCATTTTAGCAACAGAAATCCCTGAGAAAAAACTTAGCTAGAACAGAAAATGTTTACAGAAATGAAAAGCTTTCGTGGCGATCAAATCACATAGTTATATCTTAGATTAACGCTTTACTTTATATTTAAAACTCCACTGACCTCCATAACAAATTGTCCAGAGTAAGTTCCGGTCATAGTGGAACTCTGGCCAGCAGCCAACAAACCAAGACCCCAAATAACAGCTGCCACTTTACCGTAACAGTTCTCCAGGAATACTCCAGCTGATTGCAAGTTAATTGACTGGTTATCAGTGTCATTCAGTTGGGCCCACGCCTGCGCTTTGCACTCTGCAGTCGACTTGTTGCCCGGAAAGTAGCCCTGCGCAAACACTGACACAACAAACATGTTGACCATGAAACTGGCGCTGAGCGCTATTGCTGCCTCGATGAAGTAGTACATGTTAGCTTCTCGTATCTTGTCCACCCTCCGTCTATCTATCTCACGTGACCGAACGAGAGCGGAGTGGAGGTAGAGGTTGTGAGGCATAATAACTGCTCCAACTATTCCCACTGCTTGCTTGATGACGTAGACACCGCAGCCTTTACACCAGGGTACGAAGAGACCAGCTGCTAGCTTAGCTGGGTCGGGTGATGCTATCGCAAACTGAGGGAAATTTTTCTATTAAATATATAGATTTTAACAGGTTTCATTCTGTCTTTTCAATCTATTGACAGGTTTATGTTGAAACTGAGCAATAAGTATTCACCTCTGTGCCGAATGTCATTGCCATGACTGCGATGAGAAAGCCAAAGAAAGCTTCTAATTTTCTTAGACCATATTTGTCAAGAAGAAGAAATATAAAAGTGTCGCACACTGTTATCAATGTTCCAGCGTATAACGGGATCCTGAAATGGACCTTCAATTAGAAACCTGTTTACAGATAAAAAGATCTCAGCTTTCCCTTCGAATATTCGAATGTTATCGAAGCTTGTAAAACCATTAATTAAACTTTATCGATTAATTATCATAATTATACCTTCCGTTTGATAGGAGCAGATAAGCGATTGCTGTGCCAATTACTTCCTGCATGTCACTCCCGATTATGGCGATTTCTACCATAATCCAAAGCAGAATGCGAGGTTTTCTTGGGTACTCGTCACGGCACACTTCCGCTAGGTGTTTACCTACACGAGGGTGAGGATATGATTAATTGCATTGTGCCCTGTCCATGATTAGATCACGTTCGTGACTATTTGGATCTTTTTGTTGTTTACAAATATAATATTGTTGACGTATGTTATGATCGAAAAGTTTGGTCGTGACCAAACTGCTGAAACTTCTTTATAACATGCGCGCATGTCATACGAAGTTCGCGCGCGCAGTGATTGACTGCCACTAGCATCGCCACGAGGTCAACAAGAGGCTTCGAAGACATGACAATTGACAATCGCACAAACATTTGCAATAACTACAGCGTTTAGTGGCAAAGCTAATCATAGCTTACCGGTAACAACTCCCAATCTGGCTGCTAGCCTCTGAAACAGGTATGTTTTACAAAACAGACCTTATGATGTACTCATGTACCGACAAATCGTCTAACTAGGAATACGAGAAATAAATTACATGTACTAAAAGAGAATTTATCAAGATCAAACCTGCAGTAAGAGTCCAACGAAAGTTGACAAGAGCAGCACCCACAACAACTGAAAGATAGAGCCACTATATTATTGGGTACAATATTCGGACCATATGCGTAAATTTAATTGATAACGATTCAATATCGTGCCCAAAATAACGAAAGCAAAATTTCAAATCAGCATCTAATAGGTTGGTTAAAAAAACCTCAAGTTGTTGAAATCCCTGCAATACCTCTAATTGGACTACAACTGATAAGGCGATAAGCTTACCTTGTACTCAGAAGCAGCCCCCGCTTGTAAATCACTCTCAACATTCCCCGGGTCCAGGTAGGCTATACTCATGAGAAATCCTGGCCCTGTGAAGGCCCACAATTTGCTCCAGCTGAATTTAGCAGGGTCCTGTAAATATTAGTGCATTATAGTGTATTGTAGTGTATTGTAGTGTATTGTAGTGTATTGTAGTGTATTGTAGTGTATTGTAGTGTATTGTAGTGTATTGTAGTGTATTGTAGTGTATTGTAGTGTATTGTAGTGTATTGTAGTGTATTGTAGTGTATTGTAGTGTATTGTAGTGTATTGTAGTGTATTGTAGTGTATTGTAGTGTATTGTAGTAAATATTAGTGTATTATAGTGAACTGTAGTGTATTATAGTGTATTATAGTGTATTATAGTGTATTGTAGTGTACTGTAGTGTATTGTAGTGCAAAGGCAATACTTTGTACTAATACTAATACGCTCACATAACATCTTTCAAGTTATAAATAAATCGACCATTTATTTATTGGATGAGTGTAACTTTCATAACAATTGTATGATTTGTAGTAATTAAGATGTTAGCTTCTATTGTGAGGCTATACAAGCTGTACAATCACTTGTGGCCACTAAAAAAGTTATAGTATTTGAAACGGCCGACGTTACTGCTGATAAAACATAAATCAACTGTTGTATGCCAACTAGAAATTTGTTTTTAAACAAATTTTTATGAAGGTTTTATTCAGAGTGTATCGTGAAGTTAAATGTGTAGATAAGTGAACACATATTATCGAGGAGATACATAGTACGGTCTTTCTGTACTGGAACTAACGGAATAAAAATAATAACAAATATATCTATTAACTAAGTAAAACACAATTTAAATTAATTATTAATTACATAATTAACTTAATTATTAATTACATAATTACTTAATTACTCACCCCCTCATCAGGTATGGTTACTTTCTCAGATGTGAAGTAAGTTGTGAACTCATCCTCTGTACTTGTTACCGGGGGTATGTCTGATTCTGTGAAAGAGACACTATTTTAAGTGTCAATGAATATTAAATAGAATCGTTCAAAATATCGCCCCCATCTGTCAAATAAGATGAGCACCCAAACACGATAAACACATAATAGTCAACTATGTCTGCAATTAATTGGACCCAATACATCGAATTATAGATATACCTTACTCGGGATTATTACGACGGGTTTATTAACGACCGGTTAAAATATGGTTCGGGAAAAATATGGCGAAATTGCTCAAAACCCACCACATTTTCCCGGTCGCCATTTTACCGGTGTCCAACCTTTCAATTTTAGATTCAAAAATTTGGTCTCAGATGTAAATTTCCTTATTAGAGATAAGCAAGTTTAGAAATTTTCGCATTGCTAAAACTTGTGAAACAAGTCGAATTATCAATAATTGTTGAAAGTAGTGTATCAAATAACCATTATGCCTCAATTTGTAGAAAATCTTCGAAAGAATGCATCGTTCACATTGTTTAGAATTATGAATAAATGACTGATGAAACTGATTCATGTTATTGACAGTTTTAATTAATTCAAGTTTTAATTTAACTTTTACTTTTACTTTGAGTCCTATTTCATTATGTAGAGATAGTCAATACCTAAGAAATTAAAAATTGGCCTATTTAAATCAACTTTGACAATAAGGATATATGACAAGAATTGGGCAAAAAGGTGAATTTTTTGCAATTTTAGCCAAATGAAGTCGAAAAACCTACAACAAGTGTTCCAATAGGCTTCTTTAGTGAATATAAGACAACGATTAAAATATGAGCACCCATACCCCTTGGGAACCCTAAAAGCTGAGTCGGCGGGTTTATTAACGACCGGTGAAAATGTGGTTCGGGAAAAATATGGTGAAATTACCCTAAACCCGCCACTTTATCCCGGTCATAATAATCCCGAGTAAGGTAAATCACAACTTTAATGAGCGCTAAATAATAATATGGCGTATCTTATGTAAATAGGATTAAGGAAGAATCATTGTGTAATTGTGTAATTGTATCAAGACAATGAGTGAGTGTATATATCTAAATTAAGTAATTATCAAGTAATTATCTAAATTACCGTAATCACTGTCTGAATCATCAGGGAGGAGCCTTTCAACGTCTGAAGGGCGTGTCCGTGTCACCATGACAACCAAACACCCAATAGACTACTACTATAGAGTCACTACATAACTACTGTCATACAGGGTAACCTACAGAATAGTGAGGTTATTGAATTATTAATTATAAAATAATTAATAGCATGATGCTATGCGACTGATAACAGTCGTAAAAACAACATTTTGGAATTTCTAGCTAGCTGTAGCTATGCACCTGTTTCCACTCTAACAACCTAACAACTCCAAAAGTGCATTTATATGATAATTTCAACTTTACTAAAGGCAAATTTATCTGTGTTTTGTTCGATAAGCTCCATTTTAATTGTTTCAATAATATCTTATCTTGTGTGAGTTTTTGACTTTGAATTAATAACACTTATTATATATATTTTTGAGTAAACATTGGGCTGGTACTTCGGGCCGGTCCCCAACAACAACAAAAAATGTTTTGAAATTGCTGAGACTTCCATTTTTAATTAAGATTTACATACAGATAGGTCACCATTTTCAACAGAACTATCGTAAGCGCTGACCTTAGACCAGCAATAAATTCGGTAAGGAACATCATATCGATGGGATCAAAAACAGCTGATAGATATTACTCCCTTCTATTAAGAATAACTAAAAAGTCAATTTCGAGTAAATTTTCGTGAAGACACCCCCCCCCCCCCTGCCCCTGCACCTGCCCCCTTTAATGTCAAGACACAGACGGTCACTTAGTAGATCGTTGGTTTGGGGTAGTCGTTTTTTTAACGACCAATACAATATGTAAGAAAATAATAATTTTGTTCCCCACCATTGCCGGTTGGCGAAAAGATTGCATATATGGCGCTAGGGGGATGGAATAAGTCTGCTCCTTTGCAATATAGACCACTCACCTATAACTCTGTGTGTAGGAGGCGTCTGTTTTGCTGCACACCAATCATGTGTTATTTAATTACACGCATAGCAACCAGCATTTTGCGAATTTGGACCCCTCTATGGTTTTAAATACGCGGCGTACATCTTTAATTGGCATATAAATTTTGTTTAAGATGCTGATATCCATTAAAAATTTCAGATTTTAACGTTATTTACAATTATCATTATACGAGATAATTATCATGGTACAACTACATTGTAGAGAAAGTCGTGCGTGGTGTGTCCACGGTTAAAATATAATAAAATGTATTTATTTTACAAATCAAATCAGCATTTTTATACATCAGACCAAGTAGCTATATAATAAATTACTATGTCACGGGGTAGACAGCAAATCTGTAACATCTCGTAACAAGATTTAAACTAATCCAAATTACAAACCTTATAATTATATTTCATATGGTTTTTATTTATAAAATTAAGTTTTTAATTAAGTTTTACATGTTCTATCAACATCATACTAATACAAACATCATAATATTATAATGTACCTAACCTGTGATAATGTAAAAAGGCGGTCATCACAACAAATCTGAAAACTCTGAATGGTTCATGAATCAGAACAATCTCTGCTCACCATTTTGACAAACGAATAATAGTGTCCACACTGTTTAGGAGTTCTCGACATGAAACTCTTCCAAAACATGGATAAGCTCAGACAGATCCCCCAACACAACATGTGCTCCAGCACTGTCCAGATCCTCCGCAGACCCGACCCCCGTAGTAACCCCCACCACCAGCCCATACCCTCCGTTCACCCCAAACTGCATGTCTGTGGGCGTGTCTCCCACCATCACCACGTTCTTACTCTCCACTGCAAACTGAGCACACAGCTTCTCTGCTGACAGCTTGTTCGGTTTAGGTGGGAACTCCTCGTAGTTGGTGGCACACATTACAAAGTCTACCTGCTCCCTGATGGAGTTATCGTCCATAAACATGTCCACTCCTTTGTCACAGTCTGCTGTAGCCAGTACAATAGAATAGTCTCTCTCTTTCAGACCCTCAAATAAACCCCGCACGTCAGTCAAGGGGAATTTACCATCTCCCTCACGTCTACACGAGTCTATGATATTGTTTTTCAGGTCGGTGTCCTCACTGATGCGTTGTAGAGTTGCGTTAAACCCTTCTGTTAGTTCCTTGCGTACCTCTCGTTGGCTGCATTCCGCAAACGTTCCTAAACCAATCTTACCGTTATTTAGGTCAACACCCATGTTTTTTAAAATCTTGCTAATGTCTCGTTCTACTGCCAAAGCAGATGCCTCTGCTAACCCAGCTTTTAAGCGTTGGCACCATGCCAACCATGGTTTGTCGAATGAAAGTAATGTGCCATCCTTGTCAAACACGATTAGTTTAGAAGTATCAGACAAGTTTCTGGTTGGTTGTAGTAGAATCCTGGAGGTACATTGTGTAATGCTGAGAGCTCGAAACATCTCTCAGCCACCAGTTTTCTTCTGTGCTATCCTAGATAATTAAATTTAATCGTATTCAATATATTCATGAAGGATGATGAAGCTAATTATACATCATGCTATTATATTCAGTAATATTCAATATATAGGTAGGATTATTGAGACGAATAATATTGGCGTTTAAACTTAGATTACATTAAACAACAATAAAATAAATGAATAAATTCTAGCATTTATAACACACTTAGCCAATGCACTGAAGAAAAATCTGGAAAATATATATATACTAGAAAACCCGTGGTCACAGGGAGAAAGCTAATAGAATTTTTTGTTAGTAAGTTTAAATTGCGTCAAAAATTATCCTACACAACTGAAGATACAGCCAATTAAAATGTTGCTCGTACTAAACAAATTGTATTATCAACAAAACCAATCAAAATGACGTTAAAACAATCATTGCACGTGCACGTGCGTGTAATAACTTAATAACCCTCGTTACCATGCAGTTACTAAGCAAATTCATATTTTTCATCTAATTTGCACGTGGGCGGTCGTACGTACAGTGTACAAAGGGAATTCTCTGAATTATAGTAGAAACTAGGTGTCGACCCGAACGCAACCCAAAGAGATTTTTACAGCATGTGATTGATTTAATTAATCGAAACTTATTACAATTCGTAAGCCGTGAATGAATGAGAAAATAGAGCGACCGATTTCATTCTCGTATCATCTTGCATATTTTGCAGACGCGGTCAATCAAATTAATATCATTTCCTTTTCGTTGGAAAAGAGAGACATTGGCAGCGGTCCACTCTACCCATGATTATGGGTTTTGGTCAAATTTGTTTCTCTTTAATACAATTCACCTGGTGGATTCGTGTAGTGTTTTTGAGTCTCATGATTTGATAGTTCTTTTATTCAAATTTTTCATTGTTTCTGAATAGACTCAGTGAAGACAGATTCTAATGGAAACAAATAGCTGAATTTATTCACCTGTTACAACAACTTCAGCTACATTTATGTTCCCTATACTCTTGCTGAGCTTTACAGTGTCCCCGTCAGTGTCACAGATCAGTGTGTAGATCTGGTCTGCCTGCTCTAGTCCGTATGTTAGTTGAAGTGTCCCGCAGGAGCTCTGTTTTACCTCTCCTTGGTACACTGACACATCTACTTCGTTATGATCATCCACACACATCTTAAACTGAGCTTCATTCTCTGCACACCATTGACTTTCAGGACGGTTTTGGTACCAGTTGGTTTAAAATTGGTGGTAGATAAGGACCTTGTGGATAAAGTAGGTTCCATCAAACTCTAACTTTATCCAGCCTGCTCCGTTATCAGCCTTTGTAGCTGCCATAGTTGAGAGGTCTTTATCGATTGCATGTGTTGCTGCAAATTTTTCCTCGTTGCCAATAAGTGTTTCTCCTTGTGTAACCTTTGTGGGGGTTAACTCTGCGACTGCCGACTTTAGCTTTAGACCTGAAGTATCACAATTAAAATACTGCACATTTACCTATTTGATACAAATTCGGAGAATTTAGTACTTATATTACTTATATTTATTATGAATACTTTTATGTTGGTCAAACGTATTTTTATATATGACTAGAAAACCCGTGGTAACAGGGAGGAACCTAATAGTATTCTTTGGAAGTAAGTTCAAATCGTTTCAAAAAGTATTCATCCCCACCGAAGATACAGCCGATAAAAATGTAGCTCGCACTGAACACAACGTAATTACCACAAAACCGATCAAAATGACGTTAAAACAATCTTTGCACGTGCATGTGTGCATTAAAACACCGTTGCTATGGAACGTTTTGGTTGTTACCTAAATTCCTATTTCTCGCCTAATTTGCACGTGGGCGGTCGTACAGACATACAGAAACAATTCTTTGAATTATAGTAGAGATAATATATATCTATATATCTATATTATATTTTAAACTTGACGAAATTTCCCCGGCAACGGGGACATAGAAGAAAAAACACCGAAAATCGACCTCAAAATGATCCTCTGGTGATGCCAAACCCAGCTCGCAAATGGAGTTGAAACCTCGCCATTTTTAGCAGGGTTGTAGAAAAAGGATAGGAATAGGCTATAGCATTCTTAGAATTTTGATTTAGGCTTTAGATTTTTTATAATTAACGTCGGAAGTGAGGTAAAATAACCGTTAGAATAATGTCGTTATTTTAGCAAAGGTTTACTGCGCTGTTGCGTAGCAACGTTAAAATGCACGTGCGCGAGCAAGAACATCTTAACAACGCGCGTTGTTATGCTGTATGCTACGTCATAATTTCAAAACTAGCTCACATTTACGCTCACGCTATGACTTATATTCATAACTTTGGTTGTGATTGGTATTTTTTGATGCGGTAAAAAGTATCGTTTTGGGAATCCGAATACTAACAACGCTGTCGCCATTGTTAAATAAATTCCATTATGTCTACTGTATAACAGAGCTGTATGATGAAGAGAAATTAAAACATAACTGATTTTTAAAATTTCCTCGAACAAAGCTTTCGACTAGCGGGTTTCTAGTACTGTATATAATATAGTCGATTCGACAGATTGTTGTAAAATTGTAATAGAATTTAGAATGTTTAGTAAAATTAAATAAATGTTAAATGAAGATTTAATATATAAAATATAAAACCGGGTTATAAATTAAATACACTTTAATTGTAATATAACACTTTTATAAATGTCTACTTTTATAATGCCCACTTTTATAATAACCTGATTAAAAAGGGTCGTTTTTAACATTCAACAGATGTACTACAATTTTAAAAAAATGCCAGTAATCATGGAGAAACAATCCGAAATATTTGATAAAATATTAGATAAATTATTTGATAAAATATTTGATAAATTATTTGATAAAATATTTGATAAAATATTTGATAGAATATTGCTGCCCTGTCTGGGATGCAGCCAAGACCATGGACATAGAGGCTATAGAAAACGTTCAACGACAATATACCCGACGCATTAACGGATGCAGTGGTTTAGACTACTGGGAACGTCTCACGAAACTCAATATCATATCATTGCAGAGACGTCGAGAAAGGTACATCTTTATCCAAACATGGAAAATTCTCAATGGCCTGGCCCCAAATGATATTGTCATACTGTTCAAAAACAACCCCCGACATGGAATAAAAGCCACTGTACCGGCACTGAACAACAAATCACAGCGCTCTGTGGCAACTCACTATGAAAACTCGTTTGGAGTGAAAGCGGCACAGCTGTGGAATCTTCTTCCCAAAGAAATAAATTCCATCACTACTTTGGACCCGTTAAAATCGTCACTGGCTAAATTCCTTAAAGAATTCGCCGACACGCCTCCGACTAAAGAATACACCTCTACTAACAACAACTCACTCTTGGAATGGTACTTACAAAAAGACCCCAGTGGAGTCATAGGAGGACGTACTTGATACCGTTGTCCTGAAGAGATCCCAGCCAAACCTACTCAAAGTACTCAAAGTACTCAAACTATTCTGCATAAATCTAAATAAAATGTTCATTTTACTGGTCAAATCAAGGCAAATTAAAACATTCAGCAAATGAAACTCGATCAGGTATTTGATGAAACAGATCGGATCCAGTTAAATATTAACTGTTAAGACTAATCCAAATCCTGCTTCGATGAAACTGTGAAACTTGTGCTATTTGTTCACTTATTTTCCTCATAGAGGATTTATTTAACAGCAGTTCTGCACTGACCAGACAAGGAGAAGTTTGTTCAGGTTACATTTTCTGAATTCCTAAGAGAATATTCCACCACTCTCTTGCTAACAAGCTAACAAGCCTACATTAGCACTATTAACAAGGTCTCACCTACTTGAGTTTCGTCAAAACTTTACGGTGCCATCACATCTTCTGACCACCCCATAGCGAAGGAAAGTCTCGCTCGTTGCGCCAGCACAGCAGAGAGTTCGTATTTGGAGGAGTATATCCCCTGATCGGCGGCTTATCAGGGAGAGACAACATAAACTTTGTGAGCTTATCTTTGAATAGCTTTAGATCTTCAATGACATTCAGATGGAGGGGATTGCATTCCACAATTTAGGTCCCTGAACTGCAAATGAGTTGTCAAACAAGGTGAGATTTGCTGTTGAACTGGTTCCACATATAATGGAGAATGATGAATCGCTCCCGCCTTCGTTGAAGAGACATCAGAGATAGATAGACCAGGCGATCCCAGTAGTGGAGATCGCGCAGTCCTGATATTCTGGCGGTGAATACTTTCTGTACACTCTCCAGTTCTCAAGGATAACGCTGATTTTTGAGGGATGCCATATCTGTGGACGGCAGTATTCAATCAGACTTCGAACCATTGACTTGTATAGCGTCAGCATGATAGAGTGAGATCGTGTGTGAAATACACTGAGAACCCATGATGCTTTTTGGCGAGCTTTATCAGCAATGGCTCGTATGTGAGGGGACCAAGAGAGATCCCTTGACATCTCTTGGTGTTTCTTTTCAGAAAACTTCGCTAAATGAATACAGCCATTCAATCTGAAAAAGGAAACTAAGGTCAATGGAGATAACCACTTGAGCAGAAGTGTAAACATTATCATGATTATGAGCAGGTTTTGCTGGGGTGGGGTGGGGTGGGGTGGGGTGGGGTGGGGTGGGGTGGGGTTGGGTGGGTGGGGTGGGGTGGGGTTGGGTGGGGTGGGGTGGGGTGGGGTTGGGTGGGTGGGGTGGGGTGGTTTGGGTGCCCAACAAATTATCAGGTTTTAAAGAGCTTCAAATTGTGGATACAATCAGATAAAAGGAGATGCATTGCTTAAATTTTCGATGTAGTTTGCGAGTAAAAGTCACAAAAACGGTTAGATCAACGAATCAAAAAGAGGAAACATGTACAATTACATTTATCACAGACATTAAAATACAATACAAAAATAATATCATATGTTTCACGTCTAAATCATGAATAAAATTATAACAAAAATACAATTTTCTGATAAATCTGAGGTTTAAAAGAATAAAATATGAAAGTTTTGAATTAAGGTCATGAGACATGAATTCTTCAAAATATTGTTATGATGAAATATAATTTCCCCATTTAATTATTGTAATTATCAACACATCTTAATTCCTAGTAAAATGGCATTCTGAGGTGCCATGCTAACAATTTCACAATGCTTAAAATCTGCTTTATTTTAAAACTAATATCATGCAAACAACTAGTAAAATGCTTCAAAAGTTCAACTGTTAAAAAGAAGTATCCGTTGCTGGAAAATGTTTGAAACTGTTGATAAAGTGCTGCTCACAATACTCAAACCCCCGCTTTATTAAGAATTTACCCGGTAGAAAGAGGATCCTCGTCTCCAGCTACCTGGATGAGTAACACGTGACCACGTAACCACGTGACCACGTAACCACGTAACCACGTAACCACGTAACCACGTGACCACATGACGAACAGTACCTTGACACTTTGTTGAAGGAGTTGAGTCTCACTAACTGCTCACCTACACACTGCACCTACACCTACACACTGCTCCCCTTCTTCTGACTAATCCTAACATCGAACAACCTCCTGATGTCCTCCTCTCTGAACTCGAACTGAACCCCACTGTCCGGGTAACAGGACTTCATGAGACCCTGGTACTCGGTTACCTGGGACAGGATGGAGTGGCAGTAGGTGGAACCCACTCTCTCGTACATATCCTCCTCCTCACACAGGTGCTTCTCTATCTGGGAACATGTCACGTGTTATTGTGGATGTTTCACGTGTTATTGTGGACATGTCACGTGTTATTGTGGACATGTCACGTGTTATTGTGGACATGTCACGTGTTATTGTGGACATGTCACGTGTTATTGTGGACATGTCACGTGTTATTGGGGACATGTCCCGTGTTATTGTGGACATGTCACGTGTTATTGGGGACATGTCACGTGTTATTGTGGACATGTCACGTGTTATTGTGGACATGTCACGTGTTATTGGGGATATTTCACGTGTTATTGGGGATGTGTCACGTGTTATTGTGGACATGTCACGTGTTATTGTGGACATATCACGTGTTATTGTGGACATGTCACGTGTTATTGTGGACATGTCACGTGTTATTGTGGACATGTCACGTGTTATTGTGGACATGTCACGTGTTATTGTGGACATGTCACGTGTTATTGTGGACATGTCACGTGTTATTGTGGACATGTCACGTGTTATTGTGGACATGTCACGTGTTATTGTGGACATGTCACGTGTTATTGTGGACATGTCACGTGTTATTGTGGACATGTCACGCGTTATTGTGGACATGTCACGCGTTATTGTGGACATGTCACGTGCTATTGTGGATATGTCACGTGTTATTGTGGACATGTCACGTGTTATTGTGGACATGTCACTATAAATATCCCCCGCAATCATCATTATTATAGTCTCTACCAAACTACAAGCATTATTTACCTTGTTGAGATAATTTTCAATACTCCTGCGGACATCTTTCAGAGGGTACTGCTTAATGATACTCTTGAGGACACTCCGACTATAGTTTATCTGAAAACCGACCTCCTCTGGTCGCACTGCGGAGCTCAGCGACTGTTTCACCCCCAGGAAAAATGCACTGCAAAATATCTTATCTTAAATCTGTTCAGGGTATTAAGTTCAAAGATATGTTTAAAATTGAAGGACACTAACTTACTTTCAAAATAAAAGAATTGGACATTACGTGCCACATACGATGGCAAATACTTTAACATAATTGAACTGAGATTGAAATCATTATTAGATTTAAATCTATAAACTTCAAAACCAATCATACCTGATTTTCTCGATGGGATTCCCCAATTTGACTGTGACATATTCGTTTAAATTAGTCTCATACAATTTAGCTGCCTTTCTCTGCAGCTCACTCAGACACGACAAACTCATAGATTTCATGAGTTCAGTAAGATGGTGATAGTTTTCAATCATAACCACCTCTGGGGGCACTTTCTGCTGTTCCTTCGAGATCCTGTCTATAGCAAAGAAAACTGCTTCCAGCAGCGTAATGTAGCCCTGAGGAATTTGTTATTGAAGATTTGATTGATAAGTTGATTACGATATTTTAATCACAGATAACCCTGGTCACCTTGAGCAAAGCTGATATTTGGCTGACTTTAAAGTAGTCACTACGGGGGGGGGGGGATCATGTTATTTTTTGTCCGTTTTTGTCCGTTTTTGTCCGTTAATTTTTGTCCGTTTTGAAAATATAGCTGCCAAACGGACAAAAACGGACAAAAACGGACAAAAATTGTAACTTTTGATTTAAATTTTCTCCACAATTTGTAACAGGCTATCTGCAGAAATGGGTAGCCCGGTTAATGACCATGGTCCTTTCTCAAACTTTTAATCTTCAATTAGGCACAAAGAATAGTCTACACATTTTTTAATAACATAAAAAGGGATGAAAAGTTGTATTACTGGAGAGTAAAACTTTGTTAAACACAAAGATTCTTGAGCACATTTTGAGTCAGACTCAAATGCGCTTAAAAACATTTTAGTATATAACAATAAATTATGTTAACAATAACACCAACAATAATTATAAATTGAACAAATTATTGAGAGATGAAAGAGAGGAAAAGGAGGAGGGGGGACTGAGGAGGGGGACTGAGGAGGGAGAGGAGGGGGGCTGAGGAAGAGTGAGACTGAGAAGGAGAACTGAGGAGGAGGAATGAAAAGGAGGAGGAGAAGAAGGACTCAAGAGGAGGAGGACCCAAGAGGAGGAGGACCCAGGAAAAGGCCCCATGAGGAGGACTGGGGAGGAGGAGGACCGATGAGGACTGATGAGGACTGATAAAGAGGACTAAGGACGAGGAGGAGGAGGAGGAGGAGGAGGAGGAGGAGGAGGAGGAGGAGAAGGAGTGAGCAGTGAGGAAGAGGACTGATGAGGAGAAGGAGGTGTATGATCTGAGGAGGATGAGGAGGAGAAAGGAGATAAAGGATGAGGATAAGGAGGACTGAGGAGGAGGACTGGTGAAGAGGACTGATGAGGAGGAGGACTGAGAAGGGGAGGACTTAGGAGGACTGAGGAGGGGAGGACTTAGGAGGAAGAGGAGGATTGAGCAGGAGGAGGACTGAGGAGTAGAAGGAGGAAGAAGACTGAGGAGGATCAGGAGGACCCAGGAAGAGGAGGAAGAGGAGGAGGACTGAGGAGGAGAAGGAGGACCCAAGAGGAGGAACCAGGAAGAAGAGGAGGAGGAGGACTGAGAAGGAGAAGTGAGACTGAGAAGGAGAACTGAGGAGGAGAAATGAATAGGAGGAGGAGGAGAAGAAGGACTCAAGAGGAGGACTGAGGAGGAGGAGGACTAAGGAGAAGGATGAGGAGGAGGACCCAAGAGGAGGAGGACCCAAGAGGAGGAGGACCCAGGAGGAGGACCCAGGAAAAGGCACCAAAAGGAGGACTGGGGAGGAGGAGGACTGATGAGGACTGATGAGGACTGATAAAGAGGACTAAGGACGAGGAGGAGGAGGAGGAGGAGGAGGAGGAGGAGAAGGAGTGAGCAGTGAGGAGGAGGACTGATGAGGAGGAGGTGTATGAGGAGGATGAGGAGGAGAAAGGAGATGAAGGAAGGAGATGAAGGATGAGGATAAGGAGGACTGAGGAGGAGGACTGGTGAAGAGGACTGATGAGGAGGAGGACTGAGAATGGGAGGACTTAGGAGGAAGAGGAGGATTGAGGAGGAGGAGGACTGAGGAGTAGAAGGAGAAAGAAGACTGAGGAGGATCAGGAGGACCCAGGAGGAGGAGGAAGAGGAGGAGGACTGAGGAGGAGAAGGAGGACCCAGGAGGAGGAACCAGGAAGAAGAGGAGGAGGAGGACTGAGAAGGAGGACTGAGAAGGAGAAGGAGCACTGATGACTTGATGAGGAGGATGAGGATGAGGAGGAGGGTGACTGGGGAAAGGATTGAGGAGGAGGAAGACTGAGGAGGATGAAGAGGAGAAGGAGGCATCATGTAGCCTCCAGGCTCGACAAACCCCGACAAACCCCGACATATCCCGACAAACCCCGACAAACGGGGTTTGTCGGGGTTTGTCGAGGGGTTTTGCCTCGGGCCCACCGGCTACATGAGGCCTTCTTGTATAGTGTTTTTCCACGTAAAGCTTGATGACTCCGTCTCGGCTTTTTGTTGGGAGACTCAAAAAAAAAAAAAAAAAAAAAAAAAAAAAAAAAAGCCTCCAGGCTCGACAAACCGGAAACCCCGTCAAACCCCGTCAAACCCCGACAAACCCCGACAAACCCCGACAAACCCTGACAAATCCCGACAAACCCCGACGTGTCAAGATATGTCGTATCATGTCGGGCCCACCGGCTACATGATGCCTAGAAGGACTGAGGAGGAGAAGGACTGAGGAGAAGGAAGAGGAGGAGGACTGAGGAGGAGGACCCAGGAGGAGGAGGACACAGGAAAAGGCCCCAGTGCAGGAGGAGGAGGATGACTTGGGAGGAGGACTGATGAGGAGGAGAAGTAAGTGGATGAAGAGGATGAGGAGGACTGAGGAGGAGGACTGGTGAGCAGAAGGAGGAGGACCCAGGAGGAGAAGGAGGAGGAGGTGGATAACTGAGGAGGAGGAGAAGGACTGAGGAGGAGAAGAGGGATCCAGGAGGAGGAGGAGGAGGACTGAGGAGGAGGACTAAGGAGAAGGAGGACTGATGAGGAGGATGAGGAGGAGGGTGACTGGGGAAAGGACTGAGAAGGACTGAGGAGGAGAATGCGGACTGAGGAGGAGGAACCAGGAAAAGGAGGAGGAGGACTGAAGAGGAGGACTGAGAAGGCGAAGGAGGACTGATGAGGAGGATGAGGATGAGGAGGAGGGTGACTGGGGGAGGACTGAGGAGGAGGGTGACTGGGGGAGGACTGAGGAATATGAGGAAGACTGAGGAGGAGGAGGAAGAGGAGAAGGACTGAGGAGGAGAAGGACTGAGGAGGATGACTGAGGAGGAGGAGGACTGAGGAGGAGGAGGAGGACTGAGAAGGAGGAGGACTGAGGAGGAGGAGGACTGAGGAGGAGGAGGAGGAGGAGGAGGAGGAGGAGGAGGAGGAGGAGGAGGAGGAGTGAATAGGAGGAGGAGGGGGACTGGGCAGGACTGAGGAGGAGGACTGAGGAAAAGGATGAGGAGGAGGACTGAGAAGGAGGACTGAGCTGAGGAGGAGAACTGAGGACTGAGGAGGAAGAGGAGGAGGATGAAGAGGAGGTGGACCCAAGAGGAGGAGGTCCCAGGAGGAGGACCCAGGAGGAGGACTCAGGAGGAGGAGGAGGATGACTGAGGAAGACTGAGGAGGAGGAGGAAGCATCTAAATATTATTTCCATTTTTGTTATTTTTTGTCCGTTTTTGTCCGTTTTTGTCCGCTCTATTTTTTGTCCGTTTTGATAATATAGGGTTCCGAACGGAAAAAACGGATAAAAAACAGGATCCCCCTGGAGGAGGAGGAGGAGGAGAAGGATGACTGAGGAGGAGGACTGAGGAGGACTGAGAAGGAGGAGGACTGAGGAGTACTGAGGAGGATCGCTGAAGAGGATGGCTGAGGAGGATGGCTGAGGAGGATGACTGAGGAGGATGACTGAGAGGGAGGAGGAGGAGGACTGAGAAGGAGGAGGAGAAAGAGGACCCAGGAGGAGGACTCAGGAGAAGGAGGAGGACTCAGAAGGAGGAATGAGGAGGACTCAGAAGGAGGAATGAGAAGGAGGAGAACTGAGGAGGAGGAGGACTGAATAGGAGGAGGAGGGGGACTGGGGGAGGACTGAGGAGGAGGAGTACTGACGAGAAGGATGAGGAGGAGGACTGAGGAGAAGGACTGAGGACTGAGGAGGAAGAGGAGGAGGATGAAGAGGAGGAGGAGGACCCAGGAGGAGGAGGACTGAGGAGGATGATGAAGACTGCAGAGGAGGAGGACTGAGGAGGACTGAGGAGGATGGCTGAGGAGGATGGCTGAGGAGGAGGAGGAGGAGAAGGTGGAAGAGGAGGAGGAGGAGGAGGAGGAGGAGGAGGAGGAGGAGGAGGAGGAGGAGGATGAGGAGGAGGAGGAGGAGGAGGAGGAGGAGGAGGAGGAGGAGGAGGAGGAGGAGGAGGAGGAGGAGGAGGAGGAGGAGGAGGAGGAGGAGGAGGAGGAGGAGGAGGAGGAGGAGGAGGAGGAGGAGGAGGAGGAGGAGGAGGAGGAGGAGGAGGAGGAGGAGGAGGAGGAGGAGGAAGCATCTAAATGTTATTTCAATTTTTGTTATTTTTTGTCCGTTTTTGTCCGTTTTTGTCCGTTTTTGTCCGCTTTATTTTTTGTCCGTTTTGAAAATATAGCTGCCAAACGGACAAAAACGGACAAAAAAACATGAGCCCCCCCCCCCTCACTACGTATACAACGTAAGTCAAACCTTTTCAATCTCAGTCCTTCTTTCTAGTTTTCTATCAAAGAGCCGCTCAGTATCTCTCACAAAATGCTCGTACTTATGAACACAGTGTAGGATGCCACACCTCTTACTTTTATGTGCCTTGGTCTCACCTATTTGGGCTACCTGATAGTGAAAAACTGTTATTAATGGAAATTTTTAAAAGCAGACACAAGTTCTGCATGGCAAAAGGGTTGAAGATTGCAGGATACATACATAATAGATTTAAAGTAGGGACATGCTTTGGAAAGTTTGAAAGGTATTACTGATCTTTGTAGTTGCAGCAAGCAATTAACTATTTATCTTATTAATTAATTAACTATCACCCCAAGTATTTAATCGAACTTTCGTCAGCGGAAAGTAGGTCTTTTCTTAGTAATCTCTAATTTTCAATTAGATACTAATAAGTATTTAAGCTTTTGTGAGCATAATCATAGTTACTGTAGAATAAATACATTTGATAACTAACCTGGTTCTTAATAAACTGGTCAAACTGCCGTTTTACGATTATCAAACAGGAGGAATAGAACCGTTTGAGGAATACACTTCCTTCTTGGTTATGGCTCGGTTTCCCCAGCCTCAGGTACATGTATAGTGAGTAGTAGGGATCAACTTTGTAGCTGAAAATTGATCTTATTATGCCATGCTCTGTTTCATTCTAGAGATATAGTTAGCTAATCTATATGTAACATAATTTCAATATGTACAGTATAATATGGTGATATGTGCATACTGCATAGAATGTTTATTCTGAGTTAAAATGTCTACATTAAGATAAAATTGTTTATGATCCCTTTGAATATCATAAAATGGTTGATTGATTTCATTCTCACCTAACTTCAATGAGTTGTTGTAACTCTTGATCAAGCTTCGCTCCGAAGAGTTTAATCAAGATATTGTTAGTTGCAGTATTTTCGTCTTTACGGGTTCTTATTTCATTGTCACTGGCATCTGTGGGTATATCTTCCATGAATGGTATTCCAAAGACTTCATTGAGGTGGTCTTCCTCGTCGACAACAAGCGGGGTAATGAAATCCAGTACCTGATTATGAAGCAAAATTACATTAAATTATCATTGATCATGTTAATCAAATTAGCTTTGATGCTTTCCTAGCCAAAGTAATTAAGAGCCATTTCACAGTATAATTGTGTTATAGATTGAAGCTGAAGGAAGAGTTCATGAGATAGTTATTGCAAAATATTTTTACTATCAAACTTATATCATAGTCCACTAACCTTACAAAACAGATTATCGAATTTAGAGTTATTTTCACTTTGAGTCTGATAAGTAGCCATTGAATCACCAGAACCTTTGATGTTGACAGAATCCACTGATCCTATTGAACCTCTGATGTTACTTAGAGAACCTCTGAAACTTTGTTTTGATGCAGATATATCCATCGTAGATGTGCTGGAATTTGACTTTCCAGCAAAGGAGAAACCTTTGTCCAAGTTTGATCTCTTCTGAATAGTGCCAACTTTATCTTTAAAGAAGTTGCTTATTTCTTTGGCATAGCATTTTTGTATTGATGCCTCATACGACTGGAAAATAGCATTAAACATGACTGGATCAAAGTCTTTGCACCAATTAAGTAGAGATGTGAATCTAGCAACATTGATGTGGCGAGCCCTGTGCTTCCCTTGCCAATCTTTCCTTAATTTTTCATCTAAATCAGCATAAAGTAACTCAGGGACTGTCTTTAGAAAAGCTCTACAGTTTATCATGAATTCTTGCACACAGTGCAGTTCTTGGAGTTCATGACCTGCAAGGGCATCAACTCTACTTTGAGCAACCTCTACTGCTTGAGAGAATGATTCAAGGTTATAGTCGTTCAAAGTATCTAGATCCTCTAGATTGACAGGAAGAGAGAGCAACTGAAGAAGATCTTGAGTTTTCTGTAACAGCTTTTGGTTATTAGCAACTCTAACAGAATGATTAGAGCTAAGGTCAGAAATGTCAAGAATTCTTGATTCTTCTCTTGTTAGGATTTCGCTGTACTCATTCAAGCTCTCGTCGAGTGTGTCTAATTTTTTGATAGCATCATCCATTGTCTCGAATAATTTCAAAATTTCTTCTTCAACATTCATTATAGAATGGATGTTTGCTTTATCCAAACCAGAAAGCTCCATTGTTATTTTGGCAATAAACTCTTCTGCACTTTCAGTTTCCCACTGGCATGCTTTACAAACTTGTTCAAGGTCTAGTTCTTCTTCTTTAGTGAGATATTTCAGTTTGTACTCAGGCTCAACATTTTCAGATGGATTTGGTGAATCATTCTCCATACCCTTCAATGTTGCAGACAAGAAAACTGTCTCTTCCAACATTTGGGTGTTGACATTCTTGAATACTGGCAAGGCTTCTTTTGGAAGCTTGTTCTTGCAGAGCTTGTAAAGATTTATAAGAAACTTTTTCTTCTTTTCCCAAGCATCACAAGCATAGTGAAGTACTTTGTCTTCATTAAACTTGAGCAAAAAATCAAGTCTTGAATCATCACTAGCCAAGAAATCTACTGCATTCAACTCAATCAATGCAAATCTGTATCTCAACTTAAGAACATCCTTGCTCTGGTTGATAACAAATATTGAATAGTTGAGGTGAGACCCTTTCAGATGAGTAACAACAATGAAGCACCGTTTAGCTTTGGTTTTGTCTTTGGTGATTGATGTAGCATTAACAATCTCTATTATTTTTTCATTTTCTCCAATGATAGATGATATTGTTTGCTGATTTTTACCACGACTTCCATGCTTTGTCGCCATGTGGCCTAAAAATAACACATTAAATGAAATAATGATTCAAAAACTGGACAATGAATGAACCACTATGCTCAACTGTGAAGAAAATTGATTTACAGGATTTCTGTTGAAGGTCGCCCAAGGTAAACTCAATAATATTATCTTTTATGAAAATACTTTTATGAACTTGTGTTAAGTAAAGTAAAGTAAAGTAAAATTTATGACATCAAAAAATGTATGAAAATATATAATTATAAATATTTCCTCACCGACATTAATTATTTATCAAATACAATATTTTTAACCATTTATCAAATACAATATCCTATTTTTATAACCTAACCAAACTTCCCAGTGGAATTTAAAAGATTCATAAAACGCTTCTTTGCCACATAGGATGAAACCAGAGATGATCATTATGTTTCTTTTTATTACTGGCATAACTGGCTCCCTCAATTCTTACTAAAACTTCATTTGAAACATTCCAAAAAAGCTATCATTTGTAATACTTTTAGTAATCATGTTTTTCTTAAATCCATCTAATTTAATTTCGAAGCCTAAAACTGTCAGAGAGTTCCAAGGGACCAGCTGAAGCCCTTGACCTTAAAGCTACTAAAACATCAAGGAACAGTCGTTATTGGAGTGATTCTTTTAGTTCAAGGATGGGTGCCTTAAGTGTGAAGCTACCTGTTCCCCAAAATGCAGATGAAATTGAGAACAATGACGTCACTTTATTCACTTTATTGTTCACAGCATATCACCCATGCAGACCTTGAAAAGGGGAGAGCACTCTCCTGCAACCTTATTATTGGAAAATGTTCCTTTAAATTGAATGGAGTCACAATGCAAGATGTTTTGGGTCTGACAGAAACGCACAGACCCCATACTGGCTAAGAAACCCTGGCAAATTTGCGCATTTTCATTAATTCTAGCTGTGCAGATGAGTTAAAGTGTAGGCTACAATTTAGTGCTGATAGCATATGCTGCAACAGATGCAAAGGTTGAGGTCAATTGTCAAATATGATTTTTAGCAGCAACTGCCATGGGCATTTGATGCGCTACTAGGTTAATTGGTCAAATAACTGTTAAGTTCGATGTTACAGATAAGCACTCTCTTTACACCTTATTTAGAGACAAAGAACTCCTATATTTTTTGTTTTGGTGCATCAATTGACAATTTTATTTCAACATCACGGTATCTATGAAGAAAGTTGTACTGGGCAGTTATAGACACAAGTTATAGGTATAAGGGAAATTGTAAAAATTGTGTCTCTGGAGGTATTGTGTGAATTCCATGATAACTTCCATAATAACTTACAGACTGAACTGCTTAGAAACGTCCATTAACTTGATAAAATTGAGAACCAAAGCACTATTAATACAAGCACAGGTAGCTGACTTAAAAGATACTTGGACTCCAAACAAGTTTAAATTGCAGTAATCAAGTCTAATTGCAGCGGCACACACTTACTATTACTATCATTATTGTACTATAGACAGAAAATCTCTCAAATCGATTTTGGCGCTTTTAACCATTTTTTGTATTAATGTTTTTAGATACTAAATATCTAAATTTATAAAAAATTTTATCGGAAAGAATTAATTATTATTTAATAATTTATTCGATAGTTTTATCTGATATTGATATTGGTATTGATTATATTGATATTGTTATTATTGAACGAAGCTAACTCTAGAGTCCTAGACATATATAATATTACTTCTTCAACTAGGGACTTGGAGTATAAACGACCAAGTTTGCATAAATTTCTATCCAACCAAGAATTCAGGAGGCAAAGGTCTAGGTGGGTGCGTAAACTTTATGGTCTGTACTCTCCGATCATGTATCACCCAGGATTCTTCTCGACGTATCTTTGTAAAAGATATCTGATCTAAAGTTCGTGCTAGTTATTTATATGAAATATATTTTTGTCTGCTTTAATTGATACTAAATAAGAATGTTGTTTTTTTTTTTAATTGTTGCTTCATTCTTAAAGAAACTTTCTATTTCTGATATTCAATCTATTTTAGGTAGTCCATGCGATTGTCACTCCTCCCCTTTCAATTATCCTCCTCATGGACATGTAGTTACTGGTAATTTAGATATTGTTGATAATGTTGAACTTAGGGAATTACTTTCCTACGGTTGTAAATACAGAATTCCCACATTTAAATCTCCAGATGAGATATATATGTCAGTTACCGAAGCTGTCGATAAATTTATAAAATCAAAAAGTAGAAAGTACTGTCAAAAAGAAGTAAAGTTCAGCGATTGGAAGGAAAAAGTGTTATCAATAGTTTCCAATATTATTATGCCATGCTCTGTTTCATTCTAGAGATATAGTTAGCTAATCTATATGTAACATAATTTCAATATGTACAGTATAATATGGTGATATGTGCATACTGCATAGAATGTTTATTCTGAGTTAAAATGTCTACATTAAGATAAAATTGTTTATGATCCCTTTGAATATCATAAAATGGTTGATTGATTTCATTCTCACCTAACTTCAATGAGTTGTTGTAACTCTTGATCAAGCTTCGCTCCGAAGAGTTTAATCAAGATATTGTTAGTTGCAGTATTTTCGTCTTTACGGGTTCTTATTTCATTGTCACTGGCATCTGTGGGTATATCTTCCATGAATGGTATTCCAAAGACTTCATTGAGGTGGTCTTCCTCGTCGACAACAAGCGGGGTAATGAAATCCAGTACCTGATTATGAAGCAAAATTACATTAAATTATCATTGATCATGTTAATCAAATTAGCTTTGATGCTTTCCTAGCCAAAGTAATTAAGAGCCATTTCACAGTATAATTGTGTTATAGATTGAAGCTGAAGGAAGAGTTCATGAGATAGTTATTGCAAAATATTTTTACTATCAAACTTATATCATAGTCCACTAACCTTACAAAACAGATTATCGAATTTAGAGTTATTTTCACTTTGAGTCTGATAAGTAGCCATTGAATCACCAGAACCTTTGATGTTGACAGAATCCACTGATCCTATTGAACCTCTGATGTTACTTAGAGAACCTCTGAAACTTTGTTTTGATGCAGATATATCCATCGTAGATGTGCTGGAATTTGACTTTCCAGCAAAGGAGAAACCTTTGTCCAAGTTTGATCTCTTCTGAATAGTGCCAACTTTATCTTTAAAGAAGTTGCTTATTTCTTTGGCATAGCATTTTTGTATTGATGCCTCATATGACTGGAAAATAGCATTAAACATGACTGGATCAAAGTCTTTGCACCAATTAAGTAGAGATGTGAATCTAGCAACATTGATGTGGCGAGCCCTGTGCTTCCCTTGCCAATCTTTCCTTAATTTTTCATCTAAATCAGCATAAAGTAACTCAGGGACTGTCTTTAGAAAAGCTCTACAGTTTATCATGAATTCTTGCACACAGTGCAGTTCTTGGAGTTCATGACCTGCAAGGGCATCAACTCTACTTTGAGCAACCTCTACTGCTTGAGAGAATGATTCAAGGTTATAGTCGTTCAAAGTATCTAGATCCTCTAGATTGACAGGAAGAGAGAGCAACTGAAGAAGATCTTGAGTTTTCTGTAACAGCTTTTGGTTATTAGCAACTCTAACAGAATGATTAGAGCTAAGGTCAGAAATGTCAAGAATTCTTGATTCTTCTCTTGTTAGGATTTCGCTGTACTCATTCAAGCTCTCGTCGAGTGTGTCTAATTTTTTGATAGCATCATCCATTGTCTCGAATAATTTCAAAATTTCTTCTTCAACATTCATTATAGAATGGATGTTTGCTTTATCCAAACCAGAAAGCTCCATTGTTATTTTGGCAATAAACTCTTCTGCACTTTCAGTTTCCCACTGGCATGCTTTACAAACTTGTTCAAGGTCTAGTTCTTCTTCTTTAGTGAGATATTTCAGTTTGTACTCAGGCTCAACATTTTCAGATGGATTTGGTGAATCATTCTCCATACCCTTCAATGTTGCAGACAAGAAAACTGTCTCTTCCAACATTTGGGTGTTGACATTCTTGAATACTGGCAAGGCTTCTTTTGGAAGCTTGTTCTTGCAGAGCTTGTAAAGATTTATAAGAAACTTTTTCTTCTTTTCCCAAGCATCACAAGCATAGTGAAGTACTTTGTCTTCATTAAACTTGAGCAAAAAATCAAGTCTTGAATCATCACTAGCCAAGAAATCTACTGCATTCAACTCAATCAATGCAAATCTGTATCTCAACTTAAGAACATCCTTGCTCTGGTTGATAACAAATATTGAATAGTTGAGGTGAGACCCTTTCAGATGAGTAACAACAATGAAGCACCGTTTAGCTTTGGTTTTGTCTTTGGTGATTGATGTAGCATTAACAATCTCTATTATTTTTTCATTTTCTCCAATGATAGATGATATTGTTTGCTGATTTTTACCACGACTTCCATGCTTTGTCGCCATGTGGCCTAAAAATAACACATTAAATGAAATAATGATTCAAAAACTGGACAATGAATGAACCACTATGCTCAACTGTGAAGAAAATTGATTTACAGGATTTCTGTTGAAGGTCGCCCAGGGTAAACTCAATAATATTATCTTTTATGAAAATACTTTTATGAACTTGTGTTAAGTAAAGTAAAGTAAAGTAAAATTTATGACATCAAAAAATGTATGAAAATATATAATTATAAATATTTCCTCACCGACATTAATTATTTATCAAATACAATATTTTTAACCATTTATCAAATACAATATCCTATTTTCATAACCTAATCAAACTTCCCAGTGGAATTTAAAAGATTCATAAAACGCTTCTTTGCCACATAGGATGAAACCAGAGATAATCATTATGTTTCTTTTTATTACTGGCATAACTGGCTCCCTCAATTCTTACTAAAACTTCATTTGAAACATTTCAAAAAAGCTATCATTTGTAATACTTTTAGTAATCATGTTTTTCTTAAATCCATCTAATTTAATTTCGAAGCCTAAAACTGTCAGAGAGTTCCAAGGGACCAGCTGAAGCCCTTGACCTTAAAGTTTGCTACTAAAACATCAAGGAACAGTCGTTATTGGAGTGATTATTTTAGTTCAAGGATGGGTGCCTTAAGTGTGAAGCTACCTGTTCCCCAAAATGCAGATGAAATTGAGAACAATGACGTCACTTTATTCACTTTATTGTTCACAGCATATCACCCATGCAGACCTTGAAAAGGGGAGAGCACTCTCCTGCAACCTTATTATTGGAAAAATGTTCCTTTAAATTGAATGGAGTCACAATGCAAGATGTTTTGGGTCTGACAGAAACGCACAGACCCCATACTGGCTAAGAAACCCTGGCAAATTTGCGCATTTTCATTAATTCTAGCTGTGCAGATGAGTTAAAGTGTAGGCTACAATTTAGTGCTGATAGCATATGCTGCAACAGATGCAAAGGTTGAGGTCAATTGTCAAATATGATTTTTAGCAGCAACTGCCATGGGCATTTGATGCGCTACTAGGTTAATTGGTCAAATAACTGTTAAGTTCGATGTTACAGATAAGCACTCTCTTTACACCTTATTTAGAGACAAAGAACTCCTATATTTTTTGTTTTGGTGCATCAATTGACAATTTTATTTCAACATCACGGTATCTATGAAGAAAGTTGTACTGGGCAGTTATAGACACAAGTTATAGGTATAAGGGAAATTGTAAAAATTGTGTCTCTGGAGGTATTGTGTGAATTCCATGATAACTTCCATAATAACTTACAGACTGAACTGCTTAGAAACGTCCATTAACTTGATAAAATTGAGAACCAAAGCACTATTAATACAAGCACAGGTAGCTGACTTAAAAGATACTTGGACTCCAAACAAGTTTAAATTGCAGTAATCAAGTCTAATTGCAGCGGCACACACTTACTATTACTATCATGATTGTACTATAGACAGAAAATCTCTCAAATCGATTTTGGCGCTTTTAACCATTTTTTGTATTAATGTTTTTAGATACTAAATATCTAAATTTATAAAAAATTTTATCGGAAAGAATTAATTATTATTTAATAATTTATTCGATAGTTTTATCTGATATTGATATTGATATTGATTATATTGATATTGTTATTATTGAACGAAGCTAACTCTAGACATATATAATATTACTTCTTCAACTAGGGACTTGGAGTATAAACGACCAAGTTTGCATAAATTTCTATCCAACCAAGAATTCAGGAGGCAAAGGTCTAGGTGGGTGCGTAAACTTTATGGTCTGTACTCTCCGATCATGTATCACCCAGGATTCTTCTCGACGTATCTTTGTAAAAGATATCTGATCTAAAGTTCGTGCTAGTTATTTATATGAAATATATTTTTGTCTGCTTTAATTGATACTAAATAAGAATGTTGTTTTTTTTTTTTATTGTTGCTTCATTCTTAAAGAAACTTTCTATTTCTGATATTCAATCTATTTTAGGTAGTCCATGCGATTGTCACCCCTCCCCTTTCAATTATCCTCCTCATGGACATGTAGTTACTGGTAATTTAGATATTGTTGATAATGTTGAACTTAGGGAAGTACTTTCCTACGGTTGTAAATACAGAATTCCCACATTTAAATCTCCAGATGAGATATATATGTCAGTTACCGAAGCTGTCGATAAATTTATAAAATCAAAAAGTAGAAAGTACTGTCAAAAAGAAGTAAAGTTCAGCGATTGGAAGGAAAAAGTGTTATCAATAGTTTCCAATCGTATTGAATATTACAAGAAAAACTTTCCTAAAACATTTGAAATAAAATAAAACACACTGGAAAAAGATGATGTTAAAAGAAGTCTTAAATTGCTGAAAAGTAAATACATTATTTGTAGTATCGACAAAGCTTCTGGTAATTTTTCATTTATTTGTAAAAAGTTTTATGTAAAAACTCTTGTCAATGAAATGGGTTTTGATCCTAATACTCTAAAATGTATAGGTAATGATACATATAAACCCTGTAGCGAAGACGAGACTCATTATGTCAATAAAATATCTGAGAGTCTAAAGGAGAGATTTAATGTACAAGTTGAAGATAAAAACTTGCGACAAGCACGCATCTTCTGGAACCCTAAGCTTCATAAGAACCCTTACAAGGCGAGGTTCATTGCAGGTGCCCGTTTTTGCGTTACGAAACAACTTAACATCCAAGTTAACTGTTGTCTGAAACTTTTGAGGAAATACTTCAAGAAATACTGCGAGGCAATCTACAACAACAGCGGTATAAACATGTTTTGGAGCATAGATTCCTCAAGTGAATTCCTTGAAGCTATCAAAAATAGCGATGTTTATAATATACAAGTATATGATTTTACTACTCTTTATACCAGATTAGACTTGATTGAAGTAGAGAATATGATTAATGAAGTTGTTGATTTAATATTTTCAGACCGTAATAGATATATTTGTATTTCTAAAAGAGACAGTAATACATGTTTCTTTTCCAATAAAACCTATGATTCTCATGCCTGCTTTAGTCAAGATGACCTAAAAGAGGCTGTTAAATTTATTATTTATAACACTTATGTCGTCTTCGGTGGGATTGTATTCATACAAACCAAGGGTATTCCTATGGGTGGAAATTCAAGTTCCCCTATAGCTGATCTCACTGTTGGCAAAAAGGAATTTAATTATATGAAACGTTTACTTCAGGAAAAGAAAATGGGATTAGCAAAGATATAATCCAATAATAAACGATATGTTGACGATTTATCTATTATTAACTACCTTTACTTTCATCAATTGATTAAAGATATTTATCCTAATTCATTGGAGATGGAGCGAGCTGGTTCCAATAATAAAATCATTAACTACCTTGATTTAAATATTAATATTTCCACAGAAGGACTAGAAATATCAGTGTATAACAAAACTGATGATTTTAATTTTCATGTTGTATACCTTACATTTCCTCACAGTAACATCCCAACCGAGGTTGGCTACAACGTTTTTTCAAGTCAAGTTCTTAGATATGGTAATGTTTGCACTAGATTGGATATCTTTACCTCCCATCTTCACAAAATATTCAAAATTCTAATTGATAGAGGATATAGCCGTGATAGACTGATTAAAGGCATTAAACGTTGTCTGAGGAAATATGATAACGTTTTCAGGAAGTTCGGTATTCTAGATGACCATAACATTATCAAAGAACTCCCCTGATATCTTTTGATTTATTGAAACACGGGTACTAACTCTGCTAAACTGAACAAATTCTGAAACTTAGGTGAATAAGTGTACAACGTGCTAAACCGAAGTTCAGACTGACCAGTGAAAATGGGCGAGCGTACCAAGCCAAGTGTCATTTTAATTAGAAGTTTTAGTCAGTGATTTATTATTGAAGCTTGTAATTACAATATCTAATGCTCCTATAAATACTTTAATTAATTGTTTGTTCCGTTATTCTTTTTCCTTCCTCTTTTCCTTGTAATCCCCTTTAGTTTTAAGATTCTTGCTATAAATGGCTACAGCTAACACTATAAATGCTAAGTGGTCTACATATATAATATTAAATTATTAACCATTCATTCTGTATGTGCACGAAAATTTATTTCAATCAATCAAAGTACCAAACAACAAGTGGGAGGTGGATCGTTGGTATACCATTAAATCGATTTAACACCGCAATTCCAGTCGCAAGCCTGGGACCACTACTAGTTTTGTCACAACATCTACAAAGCTGCCATATAGCCTGACTGACAATTTTCTCGACTGACTGACAATGTTTCTTCTTTTTCCCCATTTAGTCAGTGATTTATTTGAAGCTTGTAATTACAATAACTTATGCTCCTGTAAATACTTTAATTAATTGTTTGTTCCGTTATTCTTTTTCCTTCCTCTTTTCCTTGTAATCCCCTTTAGTTTTAAGATTCTTGCTATAAATGGCTACAGCTGACACTATTAATGCTAAGTACCAAACAACAAGTGGGAGGTGGATCGTTGGTATACCTTTAAATCGATTTAACACTGCAATTCCAGTCGCAAGCCTGGGACCACTACTAGCATAGTCACAACATCTACAAAGCTGCCATATAGCCTGACTGACAATTTTCTCGACTGACTGACAATGTTTCTTCTTTTTCCCCATTTAGAATACAAAGATTAGTACATTTTAGCTTATGATTAATATTATATTTTTACCTATAGTTTACCTAGATTTCTTGCCTACGTAGCCGGCCCGTATATTCAATATTTGAATTTATAATGCAATTAGAATTTAGATCCGGTCATGAAGAAATGGTTGACAACTCTTACGTACTCAGATTTGAGATTATGTTATGAATTAGAGATTTGGCAAGGATGCTGAACAAAATAAAAAGTTAAAATTGCAAATAAATGGTGAGCAATGCCATTTTTGAAACTAATTTAGAAAAATGCAATTTTGTTTTTAATTTCAGTATAATCAAAAATTAAATATTTAATTTATCCATTAACGGGTGATACTC